ATAAAACTGTTTTATATACATTGATAGTATATAAACACATTAATTGGATTTATATCGAACGGCTAAGAAATAAGCTGCTTAGGTATGAGCGGGAGGTTTACTTGATTGTTGATAAACATTCTTATGTTTGCCAAGAAAACCTTCCTACTGACTTTTGATATTGGTGTACTCAAATATAAAAAATGTCAAATGATACAAGTTAAATTTTTGAAAGATTGAAAAACACATTGACATAGAAGAATTCGTACCTACGACCATATCATACCGTTCTTGTACCAACTGTGACAGCTACAAAAAGTACAGAATATCAAAAGAAAGAAGAAGAGAATTAAGTGTGCGGGAAACTTAAAATATATTTAACACGTTTTTATAACACAAGTACACGATAAGAATATAAAATGATACTATTATAATATATTGTTCATAGTTTAAAGTCAATACAGTAGTTATTCACGTACATACTCTATATGCGCATCTTTCGAGTCGTAGTGTTGTAAACCAGTGAAATAGTTTTATTCATAAATTTAATATTGTCTTTAATTTTCACATTTGTGAAATTAAACCCATTTTTATTATGATATATGTATTGACAAAAACGAAGTATTGATTTAATTTAATATAATTGTCAATTGTACATTCTGAAAGGAAAGCGCCGAATTTAATTATAGCAAGTAAACAAAAGAATATATGGCTCTGACGAATTTTCCAATAATCCTTCGGTACAATAAAACACTATTCGTGCAAAAGCGTTCGACCGCACAAAGCGGATACACCGCTGTGTCGCTTAAACTCCAATTAATCGATTTTAAACAAAACTCTACGGGAATATATTAAAATATACGTAAACAAGAGGGCGGGTAGTGAGGTATATTTTTATATACTATTTTAATACCACGCTAATAACGAACTCTTAACAGTTTAAAACGCGTTAGACTATCAGTTATCTTCATAACAATTTCCCTGTGACCACGGCTACATACACTTAGTTTTTTTACTGTGACGTCAGAGACACCCTCCATCTTTAGGCCCCGGTCAATTGAGTTTAAGTAATATATACCGCGTTTTAAACCGTTAAAGTGTTTTGTTTAAATGTGTAGTCTCTCGGAAACTCAGCGCAAACTACAGACAGTGTTTAACATTTTTCACATGTAGATGATGGCGTTATATAAATTAAAAATCCATTTTGAACTGGAAAAAATTAAGACACACGCAGGACCGGCCGTGTTGATTAAACGTCATCGATTTTATTCTTAAGATTTTCTTAAGCCACTTGTCTTAAAAATGATTATCTTCTAGATACAAAACAGAGGACATCATTCCTCAATTCTCAAGCGTCAAAGTCAAGATTACATTGCGCGAGAGGTGCATATATCGAGAGGATGAATGCATGACGCAATATATCACGCCCGAGTCCTAGGTTCCAATCCCGAAGAGACAACAATTAGTTTTGATCCGGCAGGGTATGCAAGTATTATGGAATTTACTTGTCTGTAAAATGATAAGAGGTGTGGCGGCGAGTTTATTGCCAGTTCTTCTCGTTCTTTCTACGCCATTGATTTGTACTGGTTGTAAATGTAAAGACAGATACTTTAGTTTTGTGACGTTTATAAGTGTACCTAGTTACCTACATGAATAAATTAATTTCCACTTTGACTTTGTTCCTCCCAATGCTTTACAGTTGTGTATTAAAACGTATGTGTACTACAGTTTACGTGATCATTTAACTAATTACTCAGTGGTTTCAAAGTGTACTGCTAAATAAATATCATAATATATTTCCTACTTATAGTCGAGAAGTAAGTATAGGCGCGTAGCTAGGTGGAAAAGGGCCCCGGTCTACCTAATCCTAAGGCTCAAGAAAGAATCGGGTCTGCATCCCCTCTTTTAGCATAGCTTGAATTAAATGGACCACGAAATTTAAAAAATATAAATAGCAACAAGAACATTAAAAATTCCTTTTCTCCTACGCTTATATCTTCTCAAAGATAAGGATACCAGCACCAGGGCCCTGGTGCACTGCATCACCTGGCCCTACGATAGCTCAGCCACTGTGAATAATGATCATAAATTTTCGTTAAATCACTTGTCATAAAATTGTATCATCGCTGCCCGCTCTAGAAACAGCGAAGCTTAAAATGTCTTATATTGTGAGCGAAGTATGGTTCTAAATAAATTTAATTATGAAACGTGTTTGGGAACAGCGAAATGGGACTTGCCACCGAATCGTAAAAGGTTTTAATGGGGGCCGTAATAATAAAAACGGTTTTCAATTTATGCGTCCAAACGACGCCGCGGTATCAAGTTATAGGTGTAGAAGGCGAAACTAATCAATTGTTTTTTGTTGAAATAAATGATGCGTTGCTAATGTCGAGCCTAAAAATAAACGAAAATAGTCGCTTGTTTTTGTAAACTAATAATAGGGTCTTTGGTCAATTTATTAATTCAAAACGTAATTTTACTATTTTTAAAGACTGAAGGAAACTTGTAAGCTGCTAGAATCATAGCTTAAAATTAATTTTCTAGACGAGTTTTGAAGTTATACCTAGCTGTTCAAATATTATGCAGCTTAGGTAAGAAGCAAAAGTTTAATGTAAGTAAAATATAGTTAAATTAAGTCTATATCTAAATAAAAAGTGAAATCCCGTTTCCCCCCTCGAGGGGCATGGGGCGAACACATTTTTTGTGTTCGTTTCACTGATCCGTTCTTTAACCGGCAAGTAGTTGATCAGACTTTTGTGCACTGCCCGACCGAAACAATTTTCTGTTTACCTGAGGTCCGAACCCAGGACCTCTCGCGCTTAACGCAATGCTAGGCAATGTGTTTAACCATTTGGCTACAAAGGTTATATTTAAATAAGACTACCCAAATTCGGATATTTTATAATGTTATTATTTGTAAATTCATGCTATAATAATGGTTTTATTGCCTAATGTCACAGCAGGCCAGATGCTGTGACATTTTTACAGCAACTTAAATATGTAGTTAAAAGTGTTTTATTTAGGATTCGTTACGTATTCTTTTTTAATTCTAAAAATTGTTATTATATACTAGCTGTGACCGCAACTTCGTCTAACAACAGTCATTTTCACCGTTTCCACATTTTCCCGTATCTTCGCCCCTATCGGTGTAGTTGGTGATATTTTATAGCCTAAAGACTTCCTCGATAAAACCTCTAACCAATACAAATTTTTCAATGCGAACCAGTAGTTACTGAGATCAGCGCGTTTAAACAAACTCTTCAGCTTTATAATATTAGTATAGATAATTGTCTAAAACTGGAAGCACGTTCCAGTGACGCTATCTAGCTAATCGAATCGACCTATAGCTTGGCTTGAAGCGTGTCGTAAATACAGTCCACTTTATTATCTGTACCAGATTTAACAACCACTCCGGATGAGACGTTACTCACTAACTTGCCAGCATATGCTCCGGCACTTAATTGAAATATTCCTGGCTTTCGCTCAGAAACTTGCAGCGTTGAATTAATTACAAATCAATACCCATAAGCTTCTGTGTTTAAGCTTCCATTTTAAATATTAAGTTATCATAGTTTATGTATAACCTATGCATAGAATTTAGCCTTATATTGTTTATTATTCTTATACTTTACACGATGTAAGTGTGTCTAAAGTAGTGACATTAACCTAAGAACCCAAAACGTTAAAAACATCTTACGTACTTAAAACTTAAAAATGAATCTCCATAATCCATCGATTAGAAGCGATCTCTTCCAGGCAACCTGAAGTACAGGAGAAAGATTTAGAAAAATACTTTAAAAATTTTGATATTTTTCACATGTTGCATATTATGGCACAATATAAATTAAAATGGATTATAAATTTTTAAAAATCACTACACAGGCAGAATCGATCCGTTCCGTGCTGTTGCTCTAACCAATTCAGTTACCGTGAATGGAATAGAAATATGTCTATTAAGAAATCAATACAAATTTACAATAATCAACTATTTTTAAAAACATTAGAACCTAGAATTGTAAACATAATATTTTAAGACTAAATACAGATAAAATAAAATAATACAGTTGCCTCTGAAAAGGAAGTCCACTCAGCTAATACGTTGGGACTAATGTTCCAGCACTGATATTCTTGGTGGAAAAAGACTTATAAAGGGGGTAGGTACGAAGGAATAATAAACAAAAAGCAAAGTTTTATTGATTGAATTGCGCGAAAGAATAACCAACGTATACTCTCTACATAAGTATCTAGAGTATAAAAAATCTTACATTGCATTTTATTAAACAGTCATAATACGATCTATATTCTCATAAATAAAACTTAACGAAGCATAACAATTGAGCATCACGTATTAAGATCGTGCAGACTTCCAAAGCCGTCTGCGCTGCAAAATATTATAGCGTACAAAGTACACAAGTGTTTTATGAATTTTATGCATCTGACTGGCCTCTGTCAGTCGTTGCTTTAATTGAATCGCACGTCAAGCCAGTGATATAGGAGAGAGGGCTCGGCGCGCCGGCGGCGAATCGATCCGAAACAAATGATTAATCCCATATAAACAATTATGGGCGACCGATTTATATCCGATAAATTCGTTGGGCCCAACGCGTCAAGTTTTTCTTCCATTTAAAACGGTGACAAGTCAATTATTACCATCGAGTGGTGCTATTTACGAGTTTTTATAAGTCAAGAGGTAATCTTTTTATGCACAAACATCGGCTTTACACATCTAGAACACACAAAGAAACAAATACACAAACCGAAATGCGATTAAACTTCACGGATGTTTATAACTGTAATTTATTAATTAATTAATAAATTTCGATATTCATACCACCCACTTAATATCCAGCTTTCCAGGTGAAGTCCAACATTCAACAACTGGATTTGATTCCAAAATTCTAAATTGATTAGAAAAATGTTGGACCCACTTTGATTATTAGCCAGACATTGTTACACCAGCGAGCAAAAATTAAATCTCACTTAAAAACGATCGATTTGAAGCAAATTGAACAACTTAAAAACTATTCGGGATCCCCGGAGTAGGTGTTGTTTTCCCAAAGGAACTGAAGTCTCGCAGCCAAGTTGAAACGAACTCGATCATCAACTTTAATGACCCGCAAAGTTAAGGCGTAAATTAGCTCTCCACTTTTACTAATATTTTGATTATCTTCCAACTCATGAATATGATAATACTCATTACCCAGATACGTGGAAACTTTGAAGTATTTTATGTAGCTGGAGTAGTTCTGTACAAGGTAACGGAATAATTTTCGTGTAACTTAGTGTTTTAACATTCTATTATATTGTCTGTAGTTTACGCGAGTAGTACAAATTTAAAAGTGTTAATCGAGAGTTAAAAATGTCGGAATTTCAGTAGATGCAGTATTTCGTCAAATAGCAAGTCTATAGAAATAATTAGGAAAAGTCTTTGTACTACTAAGTCTAGTGGTTTCAACGACGTGCGAGATGGAGAAACGTCGTGAACCTCTTCTCGTTGAGGTCTGAGGGCTCAGCAGCCCGAAAAACAATAATATGCTAAGTATGAATTGTTGAAACTAATATTATAAAGCTGTAGAGTTTGTTTGAAAGCGCAGAAAGAAAGAAATAAATTACTGGTTCGAATTAAAAAATTGTTTTATGATTGTTGGACCATTTATCGCTGAAGGTGTATAAAATATCAGTCTGCGACAAATAGGAGCGATAACATACCAAATGTATGTTAGAATTATTCTTCTCTAACTAATGTAAAAAAATGTTCGCAATGGTGTATGCCTATCTTTTAGGATTTACCTATTAACCGTTTTGCCGGGAATCAAATTTCACCCAAAATACTTCATATGGCAAAGAATGTTGCCATAATTATGAAGTTTGCTAATAAATACAATTCTTGTCCTTTTGCCAAAAACTTATTCCATTACTTAATCCCATGATCTTATAGAATTTTAGAGGAGACGACGTGTAAAATATATGAGGCAAATAAACATGAAATGTTTCTGGGCGTTTTTATAACTTGGCAGATAAGTCATTGTCAGGAATCGACTTTATACAGCATGCTCCTCGGAAACGAGCTTGTAGGTTACCTTCGTTGGAAGGCTTTATTGTGCCTACATGTTTATTATCTACTTGACTAAGCCTTATAATTTACAAGCCGGTCTATTATCTTCATTTATCGGCGTCTTTTGCTCTACCTGTGCTTAAAGTTAGAATGAGATTTGTATAGCGTATTTTTTCTTACTTGTCATTTTTGGTAAAACACACAATTTACATAACATCGGGATTTTTTAAACAAGGTTTAAATTGATTCACATTAAAACACTTTGAGACACTGGATTATATATTAAGCTAATCTCAAATTCATTTAGTAAAAACCATGCTAAAATTTATTGAAATTTTAAAAATGAATTCACTTTTCATATTTACGTAAGGATGGGATGTAAACGAAGTGAACAATGGAAGATAGAAGTTCAATTCATGCAAAATCGTAAAAACGTTACCACCGTCGTGTTAAATATGTAATATGTCAATAAAAAAAGTTAAAATGAGTCACATGTAAGTGATTTTGAGTACTATGTGTCATCTGTGACAGCAAATACACTCTATAAAAAAATCTATGATTTTAAATCGTCCATATTTGTTATGGTCTTTTGCCAAGTTAGAGAAAACTCTATACATATAAGTATAGTACACTGGTTACTTCAGATTTCATTAACAATATTGGACACAGGTAAACAAAAGTTCGAAACAAACTTTCTGGGGACATGAAACTACATTTCATATTCCTATGCCATGTATAAAGTTGGCTTGTTTGTGGTGAAATTAATTTAACTCGAAATGAATTAAGAGCATCGCAATTAGATGTTTGGATTACAAAGTTACCTACGTATACACATTTAAATAGAAATTAATAATAACGTGAGTACTATTTAATTAAATGTTAAAAGATAGATATTTTAACTGGTTTGTTGGTGTACTGGTGGTAACGTACGCCTAATGATCTACAGATCGTGGATTCGATCCCCACCGGGTCCACCATTTTTCTTATCAATTAGAAAACTATAATATTTTCACATGTTATTGCACATGAAATATGCAACATTAAAAATTAAAAACATTACGACTCGGGCAGGGTTTGAACCAGGATTCACAGCGTTCCATGCTGTTGCTCAAACCAATTTGTGATAATTTTTTTTGTCTAAAACAGTTCGTCTGGACATCTGTGATGGGAATATCCCAAGTTTCGCCTGGGTCAGGAACCACCGTCTCCAGGTGAAAAATCCGTAAAGTATAATCGCATTTCGATTGCTGTTTGTCAACAGCGTATAGTTGCCTTGTCTGTCCTCCTCTATCATAATAAAGAACAGTTCCACAATGTTTAGTCTCACCCACTTCTCCGTACAATTACGTGTAATATAGAAGCATAAAACATTTTCTAATACGCCATATTTACAAGCAATATAAATCCGTTTAAAGCATAGGAACGAATAAAGCTAATATGAATAATGCTTGGTAATTTAACTACCTACGTGTAATAGCACAATCTACCATGTTATTATAGTTGCTAGGAATTGGCGCAATATCCGTCCCGCCTACTTATCATTGTGTAGCTAGCTAGCTAGCTGTGCCTGCAACTACGTCCGTGTTACTTATTTTGGTCATCATAATATTAAAGTTTAACTAATATATATCTCGCGTTTTAAACCGTTAATGTTTTATTTAAATGTGCTCGCGCAAACTGCAGACAGTATTTAATCATAATATTATTTAACCTCCTAAGCTTTTATAATTAAAGCTGTTAACCACGACGTTGTCCGCGTCCCGTCTTTCTTGCGAGTTATTCTTTAAAGATTGACATATACTATAGGGAACATTTTGTTAGACCATTTAAAGAAGAATCATTCTTGCAAACGCATTTTTTAGTATATTGCCCCATTTTCTCAAGTAACGCAACAAAAGCCATTAAAAATGAATAATTTTCCCGGTTTGAATACACTTCCATCTGTTTCATCACTCGTGTTGGTAGCAGCGTCATTATATATATCCTAAAACCTTCCTCAATAAATGGTCTAACCAACGCAAAAAAAAAATCAATTCACACCAGTATTTCTTAAGCTTAGCGCGTTTAAACAAACAATATCTACAGCTTTATAATATTATAGTATAGATAAAAACATTAATAATTTTTCAAGTTATTATAGTAAGTACTGTATCAAAGACAGACACTAAAATGTCGATACACACAATCAATAAGCATATAGCCAACTTCAATATTCTAAGTACATACCTCCGGTTCAGTAGTAGTCCTGACTTATGTACACAATTATTGTGGCGTGTCAGTCTGTATCGAAAGAAGACTCCCTCTTATATGGGCGACTTACGTCACACTGATTTTACGAATATTAATTACTTTTCAAAACGCACTGGATTCGCGGAAACTATTATAGCAAAGCCAATAGGCATTTTAACACGCGCCGTTAAAACTTTAATTCTGAATTGGCAGTCACATAAACATAATTAAAAACTTTGCACGAGCGGCACTCAATAACATTTTACAGCGCGCGCTCACCTCGTTCGGCTGTATTACCGAAAACCCTAAACTACCCACTTTTTTTTTTAATTTTATCCCGAAAAAGTCCTGTCTATGTTATCTCCTACTGCTAATAGTATGATAACTTTAAAAGTTTTCACGTGTTATTGCACATGATGGCAATATATAAATCACAATTGTATTTAGATTTATAACATTTCGGCACGGTCTGGTCTTGAACCGATATCCAAAGCACTTGGTGCTGCTACTCTAACCAAAACATTACACGGTGACTTAATTAAAAACCCTCAAACGTCTCGTTTAAATCCGTTAAACTCCATTTAGTTTATGCAAATCAACCGAGTACTTCGGACTTAACGTTTAATAGGCTTAGGCTTTAGAGGTCATTGAACTCAACAATCAAACTAATTAATATTGTAAATATATTAAGAGTCAAATACTGTATATATATATATATATTAAGAGTCTTTAGATAAAACATATATGTTTATCGTATCGCTGTATGCCATCATAGCTCAATGGTAAAACTCAGCTTTGTGTTAAGCACGAGGGGTACGGGTTTCAAATTCCGAAACCGTTAATTGTTTCGTCGGGTAGGGTACAGGGATTTACTCTTGGCCCTTAGAAAATCGGTGAAATGAACACAGAAATGTTTTCGCCCCGTGCCCCACAGGAGAAAACAATGACATTGTTTCTATGAACTACCTAACTATTGTCTGTAAATAAAACGCTCTTAAAAGTTTAAAACGCGAAATATATTACTTATCTTAATTAGAATGTATTAATTAACTGCGGCCCTATATTTCGGATGTTTCGCAGCAGCCGTGGTCACAGGGGGACGTCGCGCTTTAGGTAAAATAAATTGGAAATAACTAATAAACATAACATTTTACGTTTTAAATCGTTAAACATGTTTAATTAAAGTAACTAATTAAATTTTCTCTTAAAAAACCGCAATACGTTTTCCGTCATCGCAAACGACTTTGATTGAAGCCTCGGCCGCCGCCCTTCGTCTAATTACCGCCTTCTTGTTTGCTCACGAGGCATCTACCGTTAAACCGCCACCGTTTTAACTCTTACTTAAATGGCTCGATGTTGAACTTGTTATATTCCAATCAACAACAACAAGCCTCGCAACAAGTTCTGGTAGTTAATAAACGAATAAAAACGGATTTCAATCTGTATATTAGTATGTAGGTAGGAAATGTCGAAATTCCAACCAACGTCCACAGATCCACAGGTCCACAGAAGTAGTAAAGTTTAAAATTGTTTTGGTTTAAAGTCTACAACAAAACTAAGTCGGTTCCATTAATCTCTTGATTCTATATAGATATTCGATAAAATTGACTAGGCAACATTATAACCCAGTTAACAAAAATTGGTATATGGGTTGGTGCTATAAAACAGTAAAATATTGCAAGGTGAAAAATAACACAAACCTCACCTTTAACAGCGGCCTCTATGATCTCTATATTCCGCAGAGTCAGCAGAACAGGCTCCACGACCAATTTCAGCCGAACAACCCTTGGCGAGCCGCCCCGCCTCCTTTCAGTGAGAAATATCGCGTATGTCCTCACACGCAACGGTGGACACTCCAAGTGCAACGCGCTCTGCACCAGAACCGTTGCGTCGCTGAATCGCAGCGAGGGCGCTTTCCCGAATACAACTTTGACGCCGACGTCATTCAAGTCTCCTTTTAGCACTCTACGAATGTTCACTTTGTACACCCGCGTCCCGTTGCCTGTATTCACACCGTGAACTTTTCCCGTGAAAATATATTTCGAGATCGCAGACACGCGTTTTAATAGAGCACTGTCGTTTGTGACGTTCGACTGGCAGGAGGGGTGACGTCTTGGTGGGTGGCGTGATCCCGAAAATTGGCCGAACCCGGTGACAAGGGAAAACGCGAATGTCAAGAGCAGAAAGTTAAGCGCGAGCCGCATTTTGCTTATCTTGTAAAACACTGGATAGGAACGTGCGCGCGGGCGCAAACCGCGCCGGAGGCTGTCGCGCCGCGCTGGCTGCACCCACTCACTCCAGATCGTTCACTTACCCCACGTATTAACATACTGATTGGCGCTGTCCCACTATCATATAAACGAGATATGACACTTATAGAACTGCGATAAATCTTCTTGAAGAACTCACTAGTTGCAAGTAGATGACTAGCTATAAGATAGGATAGACTAGCTATATCTAGGATTACTAAATTATTATGAAGATAGTATTTACATTATATCTTTTTTAGTTTCAACAAGTTTTAATCTATTTAATATCTTATTGCCAACCACAGGTCTCTCATATGAGGAAGAGTGTAAAAAGATACATGCCAAACCATAATTTCGCTGAACCCAGGCTTCGAAACCTGGACGTCGTAGTGTGCAGTCGACTGTGGAAACGTAGACCAAAAACGCCAGCAACGATACTAACAGTAACACTACGCGAACTACTATAAATATCACAAGGGACCTATGGTAAATATGTCAATATCATTATAATTAACGGCAAGCAAGTTTCACCATAAAAATAAACGAGCTCCAAGCGACGCGCCAAAAATCCTTCATGGGAAATATAATTTTGGACTTAACATAATAAACGGATCGCAGTCGGAGGTGAAATTAATAATTTAATTTATCACCCGATAATGACTTCAGTACATTTTACATGGCGTTATTAATGTTTACCGACAGAATAAGTTTTTGTCGGCAAATGAGGCGGCAGACGGCCGGAGGAAATTATCGCGGCGAAAGGGGAGACATCAAAAATCAATTTGCCTCTCGCTTGTTTTACTTATGCAAGCCGCTGTTTTAAGGTCTTCAGAAAGCAAAGTACTTAGGGATTAGTTTTTAGAGGTAAAAAGAAATAACAACAACAACAAGAAGGTTGGTGTGATGGTAGCAATCGTGGGTTGGATCCTAACTTGGTCAAACATTTTTTTATCACTTTAAAGGTCCAGCAACATTTTTAATTTGGCCGTCATCAGAAAATCTGGATACTAAATGGGTGATAGGGATATCGAAACTCCGTCAGCTTCGACTTAAAGTGCGAAATATATTAGTTACCCTACAATTTATTATGACCACGATACGCATGCTTTGTATGGAGGGACTAAGTCTCAATTGTGACGTGACGATACACACGACAAAGCATACAAAATTACTATATTCCAACAAATTAATTCCAAAACGGGTACGATGGATCCGCAATACGTTACACATAAGGGCTATTGAATTAAAATTCATGCCTACAGAGCCTCCATACTCAATTGTAATTAAAATTTAAACCCCTAGATATTATTTATGACACTGGCAGCATAAAGTTAAGAGTAATTAACATTTAGTGGTCATTTGTATGTATTTAAAATGTTTTATAACTAATGGATTATATAAAAAAAAAATTAAAAATATAAACCATACGGTTAGACATTTTTTCAAACAATTAATGGATATGTTTATTAAAACAAGACTTCGAGATTTAAACTTTAGCTGAAAAAATATAAACCATTAAGAATATACTTTTTTAATTAAATAATTATAAAGTACTATAAAAAACCCAACCACTTTGAACGTACTGTCATTTACATATTTTTTTTATTTAACAATTTATATAATGACATTTCTAGCATCAATTATTAATTATTAGTCATTTAAACTAAAAAACGATTTTAGATGTAAAAAAATTGCAAATACAGGACTACACGGTAGTTTACAGCGAGTCTCACCAATTAAAACACTTTGTCGATCCAATTGGCAACAGCAAGAGTCCGAAACAAGTTCGGGCCGTAGTTAAAAATTTTTCATTTTTAAACTAGTTTAACAAACTATATATCGCGATTAAGCCGCGATAATATGTTATAAATTGTAGAAACTTATATACTATTAACTTTAGAACAGCTGTAGTCTACCCCGTGTACCATGTACGTTTGTCTGCAAAGCATCCGAAATATCGGGCCGTAGTTTATCAATAGTTTTAAACGGTTAAAGCGTTTTATTTAAGTATCAACGTAGATTATTTTACGTAGCTTGTGATCTATAATAATCTACATTTCCTAAAGCGACTCATTTTAGGCGTAATAACACTGGCAATAATGGCGCCCGTTTGTTACTCCCGATAACGCGTTACCTGATGGCACGTTATTTATGGCTGCGAGTGTTACATTATCAGAATTTTCTCGATTTCACTTACTATTCATGCAATGGCCGCCGTGATAAATATAAATACTACTTTACCTATTCAACTTCAATCTTTTAAATTAAGGCAATTGTAAACTAAAACAACAATAAAATTGTATTGCTTATAATCAATAGGTGCTTCCTGAACATTGACTTCTTCGTCTGGAACACCTGGATGTTTTTGTACGTACGTAAGGTAAAGAATGTCGAAATTTCGTGCGCATCTTGTTTCGATGCTATATGGCTTGGGTGTTCCACCTTCCATCCAGTGAAGTATAGTCGGCATGTTAGTCCTTCTTTAGCATGTAAAAAGCGCTAAATAATTCGCGGACAGTTTCTATGGGTGTTGATAAAAAAAACGACATAAATAATTTGCCTAGAGCGAAATGCCGGGTACCTAAAGCGAAATTACCATATGCCCGATTGAAATATTCCAGAGTATAACACTATATGGTAACGAGTTTAAATAAAACACTTTAACGGTTTAAAACGCGATATATTAGTTAAACTTATTTGAAAATGATTTTAACTTCGGCCCGACGTTTCAGCAGATGGTGCTAGCGTAGCAATTTTTTACTTTGACGTCAGAGACATCCTCCATCTTTAGTCTCCCCGTGACCACGGCTGCTGAAAAGCATCCGAAACGTCGGGCCGAAGTTAAAATCATTTTCAAATAAGTTTAACTAATATATCGCGTTTTAAACCGTTAAAGTGTTTTATTTAAATGTGTACTACTCGCGTAAATTACAGTATTTAATGATAACGACTTTAAAAAGGGCGGTCAACGCTACGTTAAGTGGTTATTAATGACGTCCAACGTCACGCAGAACCGGGGCTAGATGAATCTAAAGTCCATAATACATTCCGTGTGAGCATCACAAACGAGCTTCCATATCCGCAGTAAGCCTACAACGGGATAATTTCCGACATGTTTGCCGCGATTACTTTCACAACTGCCACCGAAGTGCGGCCTGTTGATAAACGGCTGAGCATTTTCAAATAATCCGCACAGAAATAACCTTTGAACAAACACAAAAGACCGCATAGCGTTGCTGTTGCCGACTAAGTGTAGAGAAGGACCTCGTTCATCCGGACAGGAATTTCGCGTTCGGATTATAGTAAGTATCTCTATCATGATGCTAAAAAAAATGCAATCTTAGTGTCTGTAAGTATAACGGCAAATAAACATCAAGTAAAGCTCTATGACACATACGTTAAAATACATGCGTTATTCAGACAGTAATGGAAGGCTACAAAAGACAGACGCCCCCCACCTCACCACGCTAAACCTGTCCGGACTATCGAGGCCCTATCCTGTACATGTGCCATATCTATGATATTCTCATGTTTTATTCGCTGTTATGTAAAATCCTTCTGGTACAGGACAGATATTTATGTGTCAGTTTAATTGATTTACAGGTAAGTAGATCCGATTTCTATAACCTGCCCAAACGAGACAATTTGTTTTACCGGGATTCCGAACGTGATTCTGGGCAACACGGTTATTGGCGTTTTAAAGTAACTTTGTTTGTGTAACGCGAGTAGCAAGTACACATTTAACTAAACCCTAATTTTTACAGTTTAAGTCGCGAAACATATTATTTAACTTATTTGAAGAGAATTATGTGTTTGAATTATTGGACTTTAAAAACATAGTCCGTTAGTTCATTGATAATTTAGAGGTAATATTTACGCCACTTAAGCTAAGCAATATTTTTTACAGAAATAATTCTAAAATCCATCAGCTTTTCTTAAACATAAAATGTTAAGAATTTGTTTCAACTCTATATCAGTTTAAGCTCGTTTAAAACGCTTAATACTAAATACAGTTATTTAATTAATCGCTTACGAATAAACAATGGTTATTCAAGCGTGCGTTTTATTGCAACGTTAATCTTTTTCAACTTGAATCCGGCAGAAGCTTTAGAACTTTAAAACGGCCGCCGTGTAAAACAGAGCGACATGTACATGGATATAAATAACGGGCGGCGTGTAGCACCTCGGTGGATATCACAGCGGTAATTAAACATTCCTCAACCTCTCTTGATATTAACCCGTTTGAAAATTCTAACAATGTCGCGTATTAGGGCCTCTGAAAATGCACGGCTTTAAACAACTCATTACGGTTCGCTTAGAGCTATTTCGCTCTCGCGACCGCTGTAAACTAAATGCCGGCCGATGCACGTAATTTTGTTATACAGTCTTTATGACCCAAATAGAGAGCTTAAGTTTCTTTTATGACAGATATTATCGACCTTTTCGACTTTGAATATTCGGAAATACACAGCCTAAAACCGAAACGCGATTTGACGGCTTTATTATCTGCAGATTTTTTTTAGATGAAGTCCAACGAAGATAAATTATAAATTGATTACAAATATGTTGGATCCGGTTGGGATCAAACCACGACCCGTTGATTATTCATAGTCGACAGCACACCTCGTTTCAATTCTATATGGCTAGGGCATTTCAGCTAACAATAAGAAAACAAGGTTTAAATTTTTACTGCGGCCCGATGTTTCAATGCTTTGCAGCAGCCGTGATCACGGGGAAACGTTAAAATTATTTTCAAATAAGTTTCACTAATATATTTCGCGTTTTAAACCGTTAAAGGGTTTTATTTAAATGTGTTTTACTCGCGTAAACTACAGACAGTAGTTAGGTAAATAAAATGCTTATCTATCTTCATAGAAAAGAAAACATTGGTACTAACTTAAATAATAGGAGATTATTACCCAATACAAATACGTATAAACATCGATAAAGCCCCAAAAAAGCATTAAAACTCAAAAGCAGTGAGTGATGCCATAATAAAATTACGTTCTGATAAAAATACATCAAGATGACACATTAAAAAAGTGGTAGGGTAAAGATATGAATGGAGCTTTTAGCCGTATTAAACCTTGGTGGAGCGTGTAGAGCGATTGTTACGACAAAATTAATGCTCCTCGCTCGAGTGGTGCATTTGGTACCTGCTGGTAAGTGTGTAAGTAGTAAGTGGCACTTGAACGAACCAAATATGAGAACTTTCACTACTCGTAAAATTCTCATATTGATCGTGTAGTAATATAATGACGTTTTATCGTGTCGCATTGGTGAGTTGAAATGTGGTAATGTCTGCGTCTTGTAGCAAGTTCGGTATTTTTAAATAAGTTATTAAGTTAATTTGATGTTCGGCTTGTCGATAAATTTCATTTTTTTTTAAGTATTAGTAAGTGATTACTGAAAGCTTTAAAATTCAACAGCATTCATGATTTATAGAAATCGACGTTCCACTTAGAAAAATACATCTTTAGTCTTACGTAAAGCTTCTAGAAGAAAAAGTTCTGCTATTTTAGCGATCCCTATAAAAACAATGAGAACATAACGTAATAAGGATCTTTATAATGTAATCCCAAATACATCATTTTTGACACTACTGCTAGTTAGTAGAAATGATTACTAGGTATAATAATATAAGTATTAACGTAATTAATTTAACTTCACGATTGCGATTATCTAAAATATGGAATAAAGTATGTTTTGAGGGTAGTATATAAAACCATACTTCGCCACGACGCGGCGTTTTAATACTGACGTTGTTATTATTATTTCATTACATGATCTATAAATAATATAAAACTGTGTATTTCTAGAAATACATTCTTTACAATAATTCGACTATTTTATTAACACAAACAATATTTTTACTCGGATCCACAAAGCATTTTACGACGGACGTAAGTTAACTATGGACAATAGAATTTTTGTGAATAACGGTTTTTACGATTTGCTCCGCGATGTCCGTTGGACAATAAAATAGATTTAAATTTTGAAGGCCCGGCTTTTATGTCGGAGACAGCGATAAGAGGGTTTATAAAGGGAATATACAGAGAAATTCAGATAAGAAAATAATGGGTCGGCGTAGAAATTTGAAGGAAACGGCAGCTTAGTTATTCAGTAGCTAAGGATCATTGTAAGGAGTTAAAGTAAACGATTAATAATTCCAACTTCGTTTAATTTACTATTTTACAAAGGTAGGTATTATTGAAAAATAGATTTTATTTTATTTTACAAGTGATCCCTAAAGATATGCGAGAAGGATATCCGAATTACAATAATTAAAAATCTTCGATACAATGGATTTAAATCTTAAGATTAATTTATCAAGGCTTCAATAATATTAGATGTACAAGCCCACACAGAAGCCTGACTGCATATTTATTTATAATTTTTCTTTTAATTTCATGATATTTATTTACTCAAGAATTGGTCTGATGTAGTTACTTTTGGACACAAAGGAAAATATAATAATTCATAAATATATGTATTATCAGGAGGAAAAAACATGTTTTCAATCATTTTAAAAGATTTTAAATAAAGATTTTTAATTTTAGTAGTAAAAAAATAGACGATAGGTTTTCACGGCCATCGTTCAGCATACCATTGTTTTTCGAGCTGTTCGGTAACGCAAGCATGCTGTCCGATCGTGACAGCAAAACGTCTAGAACCTCCTCAAGCTTACGTCGGCCAAACAGGCCGAAAAACAATAATAACCTAGACGAAATATTAACCATTAAAATATAATTATGACGTTAGTAACCATATAACCTTTTACATGAATGTACATGTCTCGTAAGTTTTTTACAATTACCTTGATTATACCAATAAAATGGCGTGGCTTTTCATGCATGTATTATCATGGACAGGCCAAGTTGGCTAAATTCTGCGGTGTGCACGGACGCAGTCCATGCGAGGAGACAGACATGCCTCGGGATGGGGGGATGACGTCACGGCCATTCACCCGTAGGCGGTGTACGCATCCCACGAATCCGGGAAACGCGATGCTCGATAACCTAGGGATAATAATGCAATTGTATAACCACCTACTTATGTTAAGGCTCACAAACAGAAAGGTCAGAGTTTCTGTCCCTAAACAATCAGTGGGTAGAGAATTTAAAAACAAAAAAAAGAGATAATTCAATACAATGCGTACTATCAATATGCGAATCGAAGTTTTTTGTCTTTTGCACAGATGTGAATTCGAATGCCACATTAATGATACTTTACCTAAAATTTATTTTTATTTATATCAAGCAATTGTTAAAATATAAAATATTTAAATAAAAAAACCGATTATATACATTGTAAAAATTTTACGCCACAAGCAGGTCTTGAACCGGCATCCACTGCGTTCCGTGTTACTCTAACCAATTGAGCTACTACACGCCATCGTCGAATATTCATCCTATTAATAAATGCACCTTACGCGCAATGTAATTTTTTAATAGTAAATATAATCGATTTCTAATTTATGTACTGCCATCATGTGAAACATTTTACAATTTTCGAAAAAAAAAAAAATTATTAAAAAAACTTTAAGCTCTATAACAGAGATTTTCAGTGATTTCTTGTTCATTTTTTTTTCATATTAAGAAAGAATACTTACAAAGTATCATTTAACGGTGGCAGCCCAATATGGATGTAGGGGTCCACATCCAGCGAGCTCATCCTGCCCTGCGTCGTACCCCTCGCAGTGACCCCGCCCACATTCAACATGGCGTCCTTCTTGTATCTTCTCGCCAATAACTTCGACCTGTTATCGATATTCACTTTCCCAGAACGAAGTTCCAAGGGCCCGCTGCCCGCGTCCAGACGCATTTCGACCTTGCCGTCCAAAATACCCAGCCATAAATAATCCCTGACGCCCGAGGCACTCATTAAACTGCCTCTCCTGCAGACGGCGGACACCTCGGCCCATATGTCAAAACGTTTAGCCGGTAATAGCAACCGCGCTGTCATTCGGGCCCGCCCATCGAACAACGGAGCCGAGTACAAAGTGTTTTCGTGCTCGTAGAAATACTCGTCGTAAATCACGGGATACACATCTTCGACGTCGTTCGTCGCTTTCTCTCCCTCGTACTCGTCGTAGTCGAAATAATTCTTAGCCTTCTTACCGCAACTACTCGTTACGTCGTTCTTAATAACCACACTGTGAATTGTGCGCAAATCCTCTGCGAAGCGTAAAAGTTGATTAATTCTTTGAACATTCACTACACTACATCTACGGTCTAGCTTGGGTTCTAGCGGTACTCAGCTGGCGGTAGTACGTCTATGCAGGTCAACTCGGGTTCTGGACTATCTGGCTTGCCGCTATCACTGGTGTCTACTGAAGCGTCGGCGTACTGTATACGCTGTTTCGAGCCAAAATCATTGATCGACCGACTACCTCGCTTCACGTTGGGTACGTCGCCGCACGGTCCAAAAGCTTGGACTACAGTGTCGGATTGTGTTCGACATGCGTGGGCGCGTAAATGGCAAGTGGAGAGGTAGGTCCGACCATCGCTACCGCAGACTGCGGGTTGTTCTTTCCCCGAACAATCAATAGCTGGACATTCGCACGTCGCTAACCCACTCCGCACGACACAGTAAGCGCCGAAGTAGCAGGTCATATGTTCACAACTCGTCGCCGGGAGCTGGGTTGACTCAGCTAAAATTAATATGGACATTAACACTGACGTAAAGCTAGAGAATGAAGAATAATCATATAATTATTATAACAGAAAGGTAACTATAGGGTTTTCTTGAAAAAGGTATATTACAGCCATATATGACCTAAATTAAACGAATTTTGAACTCGTAGAATTAAACAAACTAAAGGTTATCAACGAGCACATTAAAAATACTAAAAGAGTAAAAAAACAAAAGAAGTCTGCGTAAAGTCACTTACACTTAGTTTTACAGAATTAATTTACAATCAAAAATTGCAGTTAAACCATGTCCTTTAAGAATTAACGATGGAAACGAAGAAAGTTTTTATCTGGCTCCTTACTCTTATGGTAGAGAAGTATGGCGTTAATAACCAACGTAGATTTTGTGAGCCACAAGTCCCAAAACTTTTATTTTTTCTAAAACGTTTCAGTCCTGACATGGAACATTTCTATGTAATTAAAATAAAGACGTATCGCTATTGCTTCAATAAATATAGATTATATACTCACGATCAAAGCAGCCATTAGGACCGAGAGTGTGCTCATGGTTGGAACAGACAGTGCATTTCTGACCCTGAATACCAGGTTTGCACACACAGCGTCCAGTCATTTGCTCACAGTCTTCACGTACTGATCCAAACGCTGAACAACCACAGGCTAAACAAGTAGTAGTTAATTTAAAAAAAAGAACGCTTTTAGCAGTTCAGAATGGAAAACTATACTAAATAATCACTACAGTTAGTTTACTGATCTAAAACATTAAGATATGCAAACTAAGAAATAAAAATATTAATCTTACGTATACAGCCAGTATGCCCCGTTCCAATACGTGGTAAACCCCAATATCCTGGTTCACACCTATCGCACTTCTGACCCCCAACTCCTGGCCTACAAGTGCACTGTCCATCATTGTCGCACTGCTCATTCTCGGATCCAAGTCGATGACAGCCGCATTGTGATGGACAGCCAGCACCACTTGGTCCCTTGGCCGCAGTTACTCCATCAGAACAGCAGCCATACCATGACTCTTGGCAGTCTTTCTTCTCTATCACTCCTTTGTCTAAAAAAAGTATTGTTTAGTCAACAGAATTTCCAATTAAATTCAAATTTGCATTATTATAAAAACTTTAATTTAATTTCATTAGTTAACTTTAATTTCATTATTGTTTTAATGATATAACGGGACTAAGGCAGTCTGTTTTTTGCTGTGTGATAGAGACGAAGCGAGTATAAGAGCGAGATAGCATAAGTCCGCCGTCATATACAGTTTTTTTCTGTCACAGCATTAATTATATATTCAGTATTAAATCTTACCTTTCTTACAACATCTAGCTGCCTTCGCTGTATGGTGGCAGTAGCTTCCCACTGGGCAATCTTTTCGATGGGGTCCACCACCACAATCCATTAGTCTGCCTTCCGCGTCAGTCAGCGGCTCATCGTCACCGCAGGGTCGGAACTGAAGAAAAATTCTCGTATAAAGTACTAGCTGTGTCAGCGACTTCGTCCGCTTCCAATTTTGTTTTCTTTCTTTCTTACCTCTAAGCCGCGACAGAGCGCCAAGGGTCTCAATCTCAAATCCTCCTGTCGACGACACGCCTCCAGCTTCATGTGACATAAATTGGGGTACAGCCGCAGATCTGATGCGCAAACCGGGGCAGCAGAGGTGGCGCTAGCTGCAGCACAGTCGAATAAGCACGCGCAGCGCGGCTGTCCATTGCCGTCCACTGCGCAGGTAGCCTCGTACGCGCATTGAACTCTTGCGCACACAGCGCCGGAACCCTCGTTCGTCGTTTCTGTACCGTGAGCCACGATCTCGTTCCCCACGTCACTGAGGTGTGTTTTATTTGTTGTACCTGAAGGCATGGGACTTATAATAAAACCGTATTTTTGACAGTAGTGTTTTCTAATTTGACAATTGTTGACCATAATTTTCTTGAGCTACAAAGCATTAGACTAAGAAAGCAAACTACATTGCGCGAGAAGTATTGGCAGTCAAATTATTTAAATGTAAAACAACGTATTTAATAAAATACAAGTAAGAATAATCAAATATTGTTTCTGTCGCGGTAGCGTTGTTGTCATGTAATCGCTACTTAATTTTATAAATGAAATAATATAAACTAATCTTTATCAAAGTGTATAAATACCTTTTTTTTCAACGAATATAACAAAACAATATTGTTCATGATTTTAAAGAAGAAAGAAAGAAATTACCTGCATTACCGTTATCGTCGAGCGCCTCTGTACACTCCCCATAATAAGCGACCTTTATAGACGTCTCACCACGCATCCTGGCTTCGCAGGCGGCCTGCAGCAACAAGCACTCGTTGGGGTAAGTGTGCCGGGAGTCTGAACAGACTGGTTCACGCGGGGCGCCCTCGCAATGCCCCGAACATGCGCACTTACCCCGCGAACACCACATTCCATTTGGGCACTGGACGTTTTGGCATGATTCTGTAAAACAATATATTTCCGAATAACCAAAGCCACAATAGGTGGACTTGTGTAGATGCTAATATGGCTGGGATATTTCACCTTCCATCAAGTAAACCCCACGTAGTCTGTCCTCCTCTATCATTGAATAATAAATAAACGCTTCGAAAATATGGAACGACCTGCCTCCACCTCTTGGAGCTAGTTCTAAGGAGATGACCTATGCGACTTTCAAGCGGCATGTTAAACTGGACCTCCTTGGGAAGTTATTATTATTAATCTATTATGTATATGTTTGTTACGATATATCAATCTTGGAATTATATTATATTACTTTACTAAATTTCACTCCTTTCCTTCTATGCCCGGGCCAGTCTAAAAACCAGCGCTGCTGATTGTGAGAAGCATTCAGCAGCGTGAGACTGGTACCGATTGCCGTCTTTTATATGTATCTATTATTTTATTTTTATTATTTTTAACACACAATATAGCTTGTGCTCTATTAGGCGACACCCTGCTGTGCCACTCGGGAAACTCTGATATCGCGTATTCGATCCCGTGACGTTGCGCTACTGTCCGTACCCATTCATAAATATTGGTAAGATTCGACCTGATGCATCGTGCACAGGGAGACAAGTAGGATTCCTATTAATTATAATTTTAAAAATGTTTTTTGCAACCACCGGTGGCGAATAATTAGTTTGTAAATATCTTATTATGGCAATTAAAGTTTTGAATTTGAAATAAAAACAATCATTTTTCATCCAGTCTTTTAGGTTACTAAATACCTCTTGAAAGTTTATTTTTTTTATGATAGAGTAAAACGGACAAGCGGAGACGAAGTCTCACATTTACATCTCCTAACATTTTTTGACCCAAGACCCACTTACCACAAGACCCCATGTGTTTCACATGAATACGCTTTTTCTCCCGACAAGCTTTGTTACGGAGGGAACAAACGCTGCTGTATGTTTGATTGTCGTTTCCACACACCTCTTCTGTTTCCTGGAATAAAAAAAAATATGATATTATGCTTCACATCTATACTAATATATTAATCTGAAGAGTTTGTTTGTTTGTTTCAACGCGCTAATCTTAGGAATATGGGTTCGAATGCAAAAAAATATTTTTGTGTTGGTTAGAACATTTATCGAGAAAGGCCTATATAAAACATCGCCCTGTGACTACTACAAGCGAAAATACAACAAGAAATATGAAAAAAATGGGAAAAACAGTTCAAGTTATCCAGAAATATGTATAAAAGAATTATTTTTCTTTAAATAATCTAAAAAAAAGTCCGCGACCCTTGCAAGAACGACGGGAAGGGACGCGACCGACGTCGTGGGTAATACCTTAATTTTATAAGGATGAAGAGGTTTGCAAAAACCAATTAAGATGCCTAAAATAACGATTCTCGATTCTAAGTCGATGGCACAGCCAGTATGTTATAAATATATCAAAATACATAGTTATACTGATAGACCAACGGTTTGGTACGTAATTAAAATAAGACAATACAGTCGTGGATTCGACTCCAGCTCGTGATATATTTTTTTAGTGCGTTGTGAGTTTTCTCAATAATTAACTTACTGTGCCGTCCTCGCAATGTTTTGGGCAAACGCAACTGGCTTCCGAGACACCATCGCTTTCACAGACAGCGTAAAATTCGCATTTTTTATTTTCACATCCATCTGAAAATAGTACTAGCTATAATTGTTATATTTAGATGCCAATCTGTGAATAAAACCGATGTTAACCGAATATTTGTAGTTTATTCGAGTAGTATATATTTTAATAAAACAGTTTTAATGGTTTGAAACGTGAAATATATTAGTTAACTGGTGAAATTCACATAAGACACGGTAGCTCAGTTGGTTAGAACAGCAGCACGGATCGCTTGATGTCGATTCAAGTTCCGCCGGTGAAAATTGTTTATTTCAAACTAAATAGAGTTAAAATTTTGGTGATTTTTGTTTTATTTATATTAACTACGATGTAACGTTTTAGGGCAGTCGATTAGCCAATATTACGCGTATTAAAACGTCAAAGTGTCTTATCTAAACGTACGTACCCCTGTAAATTACAGACAATACTTAAGCGAAATTATACTTTATATATTAATTTTTTTTATTTTTTTTAATAGGACAGAAAAGCACGGTGTTCACTTGATGGGAGGTGAAATACCCCAGCCATACAAAGATGTGCTGTCAACCTATTTTGGCTTTGGATATTTGGAAATCCACATTAAACTATCATTAAAACTTACTGCAAGGTCCATCGTACAGGACTTGAACATCGCGACGATGTCTGCATGCTTCTAGCTGCAACTTACAGCGGTTCCCATATGATATTCCGTCTGATCCACAGACTGGTGCGAACTCATTGGAACAGCGAGGACAGCGACACACCCCTCGGCCCCCTGAAGACACACACTCACCACCGTGCGGACAAACGCGGTCAGCGCAAACGCCGTTGGAGCCTATGTAAATATTATTACGCTTAGAACAAATATCGATTAATCCATTATTACTCATGTATCTTAGAATGGTGAAAATAAAATATTTAATTAATTTAGGTTTTAAACTCAATTAAGAATTATAAAATTATGTAAATAATAAATTGTTTTTCATACATATTTCTTGGTTTTCTAAACTGTTTTCGTACCGCACTCCACGGAAGAACTCAAAGATGAATATTTTTTCATTTTTTTACACAATTCACATTTTTTTATTTACTGTTTCTTTGCTTCAATATTAGTAGTAGCGTAATAAAGTTTTAAACCTTTCTGTACATAAATAGTTTATCTAACATAACAAATATTTTTTTTCAATTCGAATCCGAGATTAGGGCATTCAAACAAACTAACTCTTAAGGCTTATAATATTAGTGTAGATTTCTGTACCATTATGATAATTGAAAAGTACCTCCGTTAACTTGACACATTTATTTTTTGCTTGTCCTAATGTACGTACATTAAATGACACAAGATACTTTACTACAGTCTCGAAATTTCACAATCACATACACACAAGATACTCACTGGCGAACCTCCCAACCTCCTATCTTTTGCCCTTTTGTCCCTTTATAGACAACTCTCAAAATACTACAACCCTCAGTGACTTAACGTTTACTCAAATTTAGCAAAGAAAACTTACCGCAAGCACCCACATGAAGAACGTTTAACTCTCTGCCGAGAAGACACGCGGCTCGACGCAGCTCACACTCGCTGTCATGCGTGCGCGCATCTGAGCCGCAAACCGGTCGTAACACGGGCTCACAAGGAGGTGGGCATGCGCAGACCGCTCCGCTACCTTCCACCCTGCATTCTGCACCATGACGACATTCAACTTCCGCACAAGGGTTTACTCCTGCAAAAGATATATGTATAACTTGTTTAATGTAGGAGAATAACTTTGGAAGCACAGAAACATGATCACAAAAATGATCCTAAAAATAAATATTATTATTTATTTTAAGGTTTTGGTATTACGAATGGCCAAATGATAGATCTACTAGCAGTGCATTAGAAAAATCAGCTTAAAATTCTATATTAAAATAAATAAAAATCATAAAATAAATAATATGTCTTAACGTAAGGGCCTAGTCTAAATGGTGTTTTCTCTATTATTTATATCATGACATACACAGGTTGTATTCTCAACAAAGCTCCTTAGAAGATTAAAACCTTTAATATATTTTAAACTACAAACTCTATAACGAAACGTAATACAGTTTATAGAGACTTGATGTTCATCGATTTGTTTAAATTTGCCATTTAATTTGCCATTTTGCTAGTGCCTCTGTCAAGCCCGCTATCTCTATACTTCTTGCTATCAATCGACGTCCCGTATTAATTACCGTTCCGTCAAACATATACACACAATCTTAATAGAGATAAACATTGAAGTACCAGAACTGCATTGCCCTTTAAAAATGATCCTCAGCTGTTTCCTAGCTCGACAGGACTCTCTGTGCATCTGACACTCGTTGGAGTATGTTTTTCCGTCAGACGCGCAAACCGGGGAGAACTCTAGTGGACACGGCTCAGCACAACGGCAGGACGGCGATCTTTTGTCGTCCAGTTGGCAAACTTCTGGATCGGGACAGGTTACTCCTGCACAAGGGTCTGGAAAACATGCATTCTACATTTGAGTACACATGTTATAAAATATTGCCGTTTTGTGTCCAGTAATTTATATGACTTGATTAAGTAGGTATCGTAAATTGAACAGTTTAAAGTTTTAAAACGCGAAACATATTAGTTAACTTATATTTGATTTATTTTAACAGACGAAACGTCGGGGCGTAGTTAAAATAAAAAAAATAGTAGTTTGAATATTTCGCATTTTAAATGGTTGAAAGTAAATAATGTCTATAGCTAATAGCAGCCGAAATGTCGGGCCGTAAGTTAAGTTAAAAATCATTTCCAAATAAGTTTAACTAATATATCGCGTTTTAAACCGTTAAAGTGTTTTATTTAAATGGTTGAAAGTGTTAATTAAGATGACCCGAGTATATAACAATTTCGCTTACATGTTATGTTTATGTACTAACACTGAATATGGTTAGACTGTTTTTTATCTATAACTTTTTTGTTAAATTTAAGTAAATCATTCTGCTATTCTGCTCAGAAGAAAAAATAAGTAAAAACCAGCCAAGCCGTTGTGGGATTAGGAACGTTCCCAACAAAGTATTTTATTTAGTATTTTTCTAATAATCCAGTATCCAGATTTTAAAGTATTTATAATAGCGGTAAGGTCCAGTATCCAGATTTTACGAAGACGTAACGGCATAAGCCATGACGCGGTTGTAAATAATCTGAATAAAAAACATTATTAGTAACTAATACCTATATTAGTTTAAAAATATATATATATATAATAAATTATTACCACACTTTCCATAATATTTGAAAGTTATGTTTGTGTTCGCCTCGCAAGCCGCCCTCCGCATCTCGCACTCGCCGTTATAGTCCCGGGCGTCACTGGCGCAGAGTGGCTGAGCACCATCGTGGTCTCCATAGCTTGGACAGGAAGGGGGGCACTCACACACGTAGGTCCGTCCATCTGAGGTCGGTCGGCAGAGCTCCCCTGGCCCGCAGATCACGCCACGGCACGGATCCGGCACGTCTACCACAACATCAAAATACTGTAACAAACAATTCAGTCTACGAAATATTTAACTTAAAATTCAAAAACTTATCATTATTATTAATATACATTAAATATCTACTACAATATGATGTGTTTGTTATCTTGTAAAATATTCCTTAAGGCCTTTTTACTTTTAGTAAGGATACTATAAACCTGATTATTTGTTTTTTTCTGATTCATATTTAATTGTCACAATATTTAAACATTTATTTGCGCGTATTGGACATATAGTTTACTAGGCATGCCAGAACCTTTGTCCGTAGAATCATATTTGGATTCATTTTGGTTTTTCTAGGAGGCTCCTCATTATTTTTATCAATAATTATATCTTGTTACCCACAAACGTATTCTTGCAAGTGGATCTTAAAGAATGGACATAATTTGACGCGGATTTTCTAGATTCATTCATTCATTTGAACCGTTTTTGGAGCACACGAAATGGAAAGATAATGAATAATTTTCCCCGTTTTTCCACTTTTCCTATAAGTCGACGCGAGATATTTTATAGCCTTTCTACATGGTCTAACGAGCTCAAAAAAAATCTATTCGAACTAGTAGTTTCAGAGTTTAACGGGTTGAAACAAACAAACTTTTCAGTTTTACAATACGCGTATTAATTATTATTATTACGATCTATAATTGAAAAATCGTATTCCCTAGAATTTATTTATGCACAATGCACAATCACTTACCACTAGGAAACAGGTAACAAGCGAAGGTAGTAGATATCAACACCATCAATGTGATCTGCCTGACCCACATGACCTTAAGACATTTGCGACTCCTCTCAATACCCAGTTGAAATCCAATAACTTGAAACGAAAATTTATATTCATACGATGTCGAAAAACACTACACAATATCGCTAAAAAAGATAATCAATAATATGGTCAGCGGATCGTGCATTTAATTGAATTAAGTCAACTTACGATCAGGCTGTTTTATTTTTAATTCCGTAGATCACAGTACTGAATGGTATGGCTTTTCGTCACAACACAACTGAATTATATATTCATTGGATGAGCACATTTCTTTTGGCGCAACTGAACGAGTTTCAGAAGATGCACCGTCCATGGCGCATGCGCAGAAATCATTGATAAGTACCGAGTCCAGTCCGCAGGTGGTTATAACCTGCGTATTATTAAACCAGCTGTGCCCGTGACTTCGTCCGCGTAGAATAGTTATTGTGGGCAAATCTCATCTTTATAAATTAAATCTGATGCCCACAACGTCGTCCGCGTTCGAACAAACACTATAGCTTTATAATATAAATGGCAAGGCACGTGATTCTAGTAAATGACCAATTTCTTTTGTATTAGTTACAACTTAAGTAGGCGTGTTAAGCCAGTAATGAAGCTATCTTTTTTACAGTACAGGCGTAACCCTGACTGGTGCAAGGCATTTGAAACATCACGCCGTAGATGAAATAAGCTTAAAATAAATTTGTTAGTTTCGAGTTTTTAACCTGTTTTATTTAAATGTGTACTGATGCGTCTTAATAACTCTTACGGGGTGTCCCTACTTGACATCGGCTAAAGCAAGGCATTCGAAACGCTGTTCCTAGTTAAAATAAATTGTAAATAAATTTAATTTATAAATTTTGGGTTTAAAACCATTAAGTGTTTCATTTAAATGGTCTGTCTTTAATTACTCGCGTAAACTATGGACAGTCATTAATACGTATATTTTTATCTCTTTAATGTCTTACTTTTACCTTGAACTTTGTTCAAACGTAGCGATACCGTTTCTGGGATAAGTAAATAAAGCACTAACAATTTTAATAAGTTTATTATTATGGTTCTCACCATTTTAAGACGCTTTCACTCGTATTACATTCAATGTCGTAACAGAGATTTATAAGTATATGTATAAAAATAGGACTGTACGAGTCCTATCAGGACCCGGAAATGCACGAATGAGAACGAAATTCTTTCCTGTACACTGCTAAAATGCAATGACAAATATTGTGATTCAAGTATCATATACATACAATGTCTGAGTTGCACATGATTTCATAACATGCAAACGCACTACACAATTTCTAATCTTTGTACACTGACTATCCTATTCAAATATCACCTGTGTTCTCAAAGTAGTCGGCGCAATGGAGCAATCATCAAATAAATATCATTATACACGTGATAATTATACAAATACAATCGAGTTGGCAACAAAATTGAAATAATATAAAATAATGGTATCCATCTACACAATCTGTACAATAACTCATCGCCAGACACGGTAATAAATAAATTCACTATACAGTCTTACTTACAGTCGCTCAATGTCAAAACGCCGCCCTCGCGCCTCGCTTATCACTTAGATAAAAACACAGCACTTTTGTCACTTACACTTTAAGGTTCGACCAGTGTCCGCGGAAAGAGATCTCTACTGGCTATACTTTATTTACAGAATATTTCCTTATGTACTATATTTACAGAGTGAATGTTCGCACGAGCTACGTGGGTGGCGCGCGGCGATCATAGTCCCTCCTGTACACCTCGCGTTCGTACTCCCGGTCGTCGTAGGGGTACTCTGGCTGCGCGTACCCACGCCAGTCGTCAGGGTACGGCCTCGCGGGCGGGAAGCCCATGCCTCCCGGCATGGTGGCGCCTTCGTAGTAACCGCTGTACGGTCCGGCCATGGGAGGGTAGCCCCCGAACCTGCTGTGTTTGAGCAAATTTGTTATTAACACTTATGATGGTTATTAACATAACGTAATAACGTAAATAAACACTGATATTATACCTTCTCTTATCGTGTGTCCTAGGGTTTCGATCGCCCCGGTATTGCCTAGGCCCAGGATAAGCCGGAGGTGTCCAGCCCGCGTGCGTGGGATGCGACGAGTGGGGTGGGTGCCCGTGGGCGGCGTGTTCCGGGTGAGGGTGAGCGTAGGGTTGGCGCACCCGGGGCCCGCCTCCTCCGCTGTCCCGTCTCGTTCTCGATCGGTCCCGATCCCGGTCTCTGTCCCTTTCTCGTTCTCTATCCCGATCTCGGTCCCGGTCCCTCTCGCGCTCCCGCTCGCTGCGGCTCCTCTCCCTGTAGGACAAATCATCTCGCTTCAGACTTCCATCCCTACACTTGCGATCCTTATGCTTGTGCTTATGTCTGTAGCGAAGCGAGATGACGAGCGGGAAATGTTAGTGACGCAGAGGTTAGTCGTACAAGAGAGAAATCGAGACATGCAAATTGACATAGGATGTGAAGCATGACGTTATCAAGTGTATATATTTTTGGCAAGCTTATAGAGATAATTGTAGAATGATAATTAATTTAAAAAAAACTTGTATACCTTTCATGCCTCTTATTTTCATTAGGTTCAGGGTCACACTCGCCCTCCTCCAACTTCCTCTTAACACCCGAAGCGTGTGCAGCCTTATCGTTGTTTTTATCATTCTTCTCGAGTCGGGGTCGCTTCTCTTTGCGATCCAAGTTTTCGTCAATCTTATTGTCTTTTTTGAAAGATTTTACATGATTATTTGAATTAAAATTGTTTCTAGAGTTTGCCTAAAACAAGAGAGTAAAATTAAGTTTCGTCATTTCGGAACTAAATCAATTGAATAAGGTTCTTTGGCAAACCTTAAGATTTTCTTTGTGTTTCCCCTCTTTGTGTTTCGTATCGCTCTTTTTCAGTCCAAACTTATACAATCTATATAATTGTTTTGCATCAAAATTCGTGAACTTTGACACAAAGTACCAGAGATTACTTCTCCATTCGACCTTCTTCTCGGGATCTGGATAAGCCTCTAAACAGATGTCGATTTGGTTTCCGATTTGAGCGAGACACGCTCTCGTTCTGGACACCTGTTCTGATTCTGACAGTGTTTGATCGGGATTGTCGAGGGCCCTTAGAGCCTTTTTTACAGGTCTCATCTTTTCCTTACACTGAAAAATTTAAATATGATTATTAAGTAACCAATACGTTTTGTTATATAAATCAATGTAATCAAATGTTTAAATGTATTGACATATAGAGTAAACGAATAAATATACCTCTTCAAAGACTGAAGGATCCAAGTCCCCTAAAACTTCTAAAGCCCGCGGCTCATTATTCGCAGTGAAATGCATGGGACCTGCAGGCTTTTTATTTTTTTTAACTTTATCATTTTTACTCCGATCTTTTCCGTCTTTTTTTGATCGTTTCTTGTCCTTTTCCTTTCTATCGCATGACGTTTCATCGTGAGTCAAAACCTCCTCCATTTTTAGTTTACCCTTTGAAAATAAATACATAAATACAGAATTATGTTGGAAATGCTATGACTGTAAAGCTTATATAACCATATAACATCATTGATAAGTAGCATTAGTAGGCTCATAAAGGGTACAGTTAAAATTTAAAAACGACAGCAATCATTTTTATCGTATGTACAGTGTTGATGTAGCATGATATTTTTTAGGTATTCAACAGGTAAGGATTTGCAGTAAATAATAGCGTGGCGTACCCTATCATTCTTTCCACCCTTGTGGTTCTTCTTATGATCATCGCCTGAACTTCCCTCATCTTCGACGGTGTCTTTTGTTACTGGCTCCTTGATGCCTTTCTTCATTCGGGGCTTCCTCTGCTTCTGCTTGCCATTTTTCTGATCGAGCAGCTTTTTAATAAGCTTAAGTAAATAATCGGCTCTCGACTGTAAATGCTTGGCTTGCGGTTTCTTATCTTCATTTGTTAATATTTTATCACCTATTCCAAAGGATGAATCCATTTTTATAGCCTCCCAGGATCCCATACCATATTGGTAAATGCCCGCTAGCAGTTTAGAATCATCCTCGACGCCCCAATCGACGTCGAAATTTGCTGGTCTGGTTCTGAGAAAGAAAAAACGAAAAAATAAATCACGAATTTCTCTCCTCCAGAAAACATAAATAAAATATAAACTTACTTGAAGTCTAATTGCCATTTCAGCCTCTCTTCCTTAGTTTCAGGAAGAAACTCGTCTAACGGCGCGAGTTCGTCTTGGCACGCCGCCATCGTTTTAGCGTTCACAGACACGCCGCCCAATTTAAACGACTTTCGTGCATTTTTCCGCCCGTCGCTGTGATCATCTGTAAAAACGTTTCATTGCCAAGTTTACTGTCACGCCGACACACAAGAAAAACAATTATAATTACAAAACAAATTTCACTTACTTGATGTATCGGCGGTATCGTTCAGTACAGATCTACACCTGTCTTGTAAAATTTCACCTAATTTCTTTAAATCGGCCAATGGTTTCTCCTGTAACTCTGCATCACACGCTATGCTGTCCAAGTGTTTCAAAGGCGCCGAGAATTTTTTATAACTCTTCACGAATCGTCTTATCTGAGAAATTTGAAAGATAGTTTTGTGAATTAAATTACGAAATATTTATGATATATTTTAAACAAAGTGTCCTTTTTAGAAAGTGTGAGGTTTTAATCATGTTATTATTGTAATAATTCCAGTACATTTTAAAAAAGACACAAACTTCCATCTTAACTAACCTCTTGATCTGTGAAGCCTTTTATCTTTTCCCTGTGGCTGGCGGGAGGCCGCCCACGTTTCCTCGGCCGATCATCATCGGCGCTTACATCACCATCAGAGATATCAGATTCATTGTCGGCTTCGCCATCGCCATCCACCCCCTCAGCGCCTTCCGCACTATCGCCCCCTCGGCCCCGTCTCTTACGACCGCCTTCTAGGCAAGAAATAAAATTTTCATTGACTAAATAGCTTTTAACATTCTTACAAACCATACTCGTATCATTCGCGATACGTCATTCATCATACATACATCTTTGGAAAACAGAAGCAAGAATTGTATATAAAAAAAAACTAAGTAAATATTAGGTAATAAAGTTAAAGTCTAAAGATATTGACGAAATATATATTATTAAATTAGTTATTCAGTTGCAGTTAACAATTACATAACATCGATTTGATTATATTCAGACCTTTTCATAACTTGTCGCCATTTTCCTTCTTACCATTGTAATTACAAAATGGCGGCGAATGACGTCATAAGCTCTACGCATGACCTTAACGTGTTTTTAGCTGAAGCAATAAGCTCCAAACACTTCAATAATGGTATAACACCTTAAAATATGTACTTACTGTTATCTAAGTTATTTTGTTGCGCTTTTCTACGCGGTGGTAAATACAAATCTTCCATTTCTTTTGTTTTCTCTTTTTCTGCAAGCGTTTTACGCACGTTTTCCGGAATGATGTCATCCTAGACAAAATAAAGAAAACTTTAAAATTTATGAAAAAGACGACACTGAAAATGAATTCTAAAATAGTATTTCGGCCTCACCCAATCTTTGGTGTCCTCTTCTGCTCCATCTTTCTTTGCTCCCATTACCGCTTTTTCTTCGTCAAATGCAAAACTAGCAACTTTAAATGCAGACAGAAGTTCATCTCCCGCCATCGTCGGGCCTTCGTCGCGAGTCTCAGCTCGTTGTAAAATTTCATCTATATCGCACTGAGGAAAGTAAGGATATGTTACACAAATATTACCGGCGATAATTTGAAATTATCTGTGTATGAATAACATACCACAGGGTCCTCGTCGTTTTCATCATCATCTTTAAAGAGTTCTTCAGCACCAAATTTTAATATAGCATTAAGATCTTCCTTATTGAATGGATTATTAGCACTGGTTCCAGAGGCATCCCGTTTGTTGAGTACAGTGCGGCCCGTCGTGTCCATTCTTTGAATGACGAGATGATCTAGTACCATCTTTCGTTTAGCCCTCTCTACAATGTCTTCTTCCACAGACCTGGCAGTTACCAACCGATAAATGTTGACCTACGAATATTGTCGTACAGTAAATTGGAAACTTGAGCAACTATCCAACCGATTGTTAACTAAAATTACCTGATTCTTCTGTCCAATACGATGAGCTCGCGCTTGGGCCTGGAGATCGTTTTGAGGGTTCCAATCAGAATCGAATATAATAACAGTATCCGCTGTTGCTAAGTTAATTCCCAAGCCACCGGCGCGCGTCGACAACAGAAAGCAGAAGTCCTGAGAACCTTCTGCATTGAAATGGTCCAAAGCTTGCTTTCTTAGTTCTCCTTTTATACTACCATCGAGTCTTTGAAACGGAAAGTGCCTCCTTTGTAAATATTCTGCTAATATATCTAACATTCTAACCATTTGCGAGAAAATTAATACCCTATGACCCGTTTCTTTTAACCTACACAATAATTTGTCTAATAGAAGTAATTTTCCTGATCCTCTTAATAGTTTCTGAAAAGATATAGATAGAGTTATAGATCATGTACACAGGTGCAAAACAAACGAAAGAGGAAATAGAAGACTACCTCTACTGCGTCGGTTGTGGCAAGGGAGGCACGAGACTCAAAATCTTCAGGTTTCGTTAACAGGGCATGATTACAGCATTTTTTTAATTCAATGACAATATTGATAAAGGTATTTGTTGACCCCTTTACACCTTTTCGCAGCTCGCTGTAATTTTTTGTTAATATCCATTTGTAATATTGCTTTTGTATTGAAGTCATTTCAACCCTCAATATTTGTTCAACTTTAGCGGGTAGAGATTTTTCAACATCCTTTTTCTGTCGCCTTAAAATAAATGGTTCTAATTGTTTGTGTAGTTTTTCATAGCCCTTTGTAGCTGCATCTTCGTGATCTTTTTCGAATTCTTCCCATGACTCAAATCTAGAAGATAATTTAATAGAGTTAACATACAATTTATACTCTATCATATTTTAAGGCCTTTGAACATGGTGACTTACTTGTATGGCATAATAAAATGCAGTAACGCCCACAATTCTTTAAGAGAATTTTGCAAAGGTGTACCAGTCACAAGAAGCCTGTGATTCGTATCAAACTCCTTCAGAGCCTTATATAAGAGGGAGTCATCATTTTTTAGCCTGTGAGCTTCATCAACTAGCAAACAGGCCCAACTGAAGGATCTTAAAAACTGCCTATCTTTTAGTAAAATTTCATATGTAGTTAGTATTGCATTGAATTTCAGCCTTTTAGAACTAGCAAAACTCCACTCAAACTGCCTAATCTGCAACAATTAGTTACATTAACTTAAAATCGATGTTACTCTGAGCTAAATAAGGCATCAAATGATTACTTACTATATCTCTACTAGAAACATCACCAATGTAAGTGACTACATTAACATCTGGTGCCCACTGTATGAATTCCCGCTGCCATGCAGTCATTGTACTCAAAGGTACTACACACAGGAATGGACCATATAATTGTTGAGATTTAAATAGATAATATAGAAAACATATAGTCTGAAACAAAATTTCCGCCATTATATTTAATGCAAAGTTGTATAATATAATTTATTTTCAGTGCAATTTACCTGAATAGTTTTACCTAAACCCATTTCATCGGCAAGAATAACAGAATTATCTTTACACCAGGAATGTATCAACCAGTTCAAGCCATCCATTTGATAATCTCTTAATTCATATGACTGAAACAAAATATCATATGGTTATAAAATTATCTTCATATAACATTTGCTTATCTACTTAGAATCGATCTTAACACTATATTATACCTTGTCTTTACCCATATATTCTGGCTGTTCTTTGACTTGGTGAAATTTAGGCCTTCTCCTCAGAACTGGGCAATGTCTAGAAGGAGTTGTTGTTGCAGCCTCTCTCGACTTAAAGTTTTGAACTTTTTCTGGCCATTTTCTTTCAATAAGAGCAGAATCCTCCCAAGTTGCATCGGCGTATGGTAGTGATTCCCACTTACAGAAATATTCGTGAGCAGTCCCTCCGCCCTCAAGCTCACGTGTTTGTTCAGCTATAAGAAATATGATTGTTTACTGCAAGCAAAGTAGAATAACCACATGAAAGCCATGTATGTAAACTTACCAAATATTCTTTCTACAAAATTATAGGATTTGACCAATTCTTGTTGCAGCTCTGACTGACACTCAAAGTAGTCAATGTCCTCTGGTCCAGCTTGCTTCCTCCACCACGACAGCTCGGATTCTTTTTTCTTAAAATTCTCTAATTTTTTAAGACCCTTTACTTTTTGTTCGTTTAGAGAATTTTCGGATTCCCAAGTGTTATGAATATGAGACCAGCCCTTCCACTTTATCAGGTACTGTGGTTCCGTCGCTTCTTCATCATCAGGATCACAGCCATGATTTGGATCACCATTTTCCTCGATATAGTAAACTGTAGTCACATTTCCCGTGACTGTACAATGATAAGAAGTTATTAGCTAAAATTGTATAACTGAACTGCAAATTTTATTTTTGTCGAGAGTAAGTAATTTCTTAAATAATGAATACGGTAAACAATTTTTCTTATAGAGAGAAGGAAATAAAATGTTTGAACACTGAAAATATACCTCCTTTTTTCCCACGTCGAAAGCCCAAAATTTTTTCTATTGTTTCACTATGTTCTTCAGGTTCAGGTTCAGCTTCCACCTCACCTTCAACGCCATCAACTTCTAATAAGTCTGAAGAGTCTGTTTGTTCATCACTTGCTTCTTTATAACTAACAGCTGCACCAGTCCGACGTGTAGCTGTACGACTAAAGAACCAAAAGGTACAGAAATAAAAAAACAAGTACCCATTTTAAACAGTATTGAAAATTATGTATAGATGTTGAAATACAAAGATTTCTAAATTTTTAACTTCCATTTTCTATTGGTATAATGTATTTATAGATAGGCCAATTGTAGGTGATAAAAACTCAAGCAAGAAATAAAACACTAAACAATTATCATTTATTTCTACCGAAGAGCCCAGCTTCACCTTTTGGTATCTTCATCAGACGCTTCAGTACTTTCATCTTCATCACTAGTGAATCGTTTTCTTCTTGCTGGTTTCTTTTTTCTTAAGGGCACTCCCCTTTGGCCTGGCCGTTTGGAGGGAGGTGGTGGTGATCCCTTAACATCACTATCACTATCAGAGGTATCTGAATTCCAAGAGTCACTGAAATAATTTTAACTGGTTCAGGACAATACCCAAGAACTGAACTTGGTAATTAATTGTTGATTAAGCAATTAAATAAAAAATACAAATAGTAGGTAAACTAGTTGAAAGGTGTTGAAACACAGTAGTTAAAACTGCTAGTTTAAATTTTATTTGTTAGGCCAAAGCTATGTTTGTGACAATTTTAAAAAATGTGTACAAAATAGAAGCTGCCATAAATTGTTGATGAATTTATATGCCAACTTTACCTCTTCTTTCTACCTCGTCTATGGCTACTTCTTCCTTTATCGCTAGAATCACTATCTGCTAATTTTAATCTATCTGGTTCCTTTCTTGACCTGGCTGATCTTCTTATACCATAAATATCAGGATTGTCTTCCCATATTTTGTCATGATTATTCCTTGATTTATGCTTTATACTATCATCTGATGAATCCTTGTCGGTGTGGTGGTCTGATTTTGAGGAGTTTGCATGGCTATCCTTTGGTGAAGATTTTCCATCATCACTGAAGTTAGAGCGACCAGCATTTGAAGATTTTTCTGATCCAGAGTTAGCACCAGATGCAGAACCAGAGGAACTCGAACCACTGTCACTAACAATTACCATGAGAAAAAAGGTACATACGATTAAAAAAATGCAAGACTTTACTTTAAATAATACCTTTCACTTCCTGATCCTGATCCGCTGGAATCAGTCTTCTCACCCTTTTCACTTGTTGATTCACTCTCCGATTCATTCATGTAGCCCGTCTAAAATTAAGGAATGAGATACTAAAATTATATTTAACAGATATATGCTATTTCTACAACATAGTACCTATTTGGTCACATATTATCGTTAATGTATAATAACACCAAGCATCCTCGGAATATGATTTTTAATAAAAAAATCTACATTTCATTTGTTTTAATTCAAAAACACTTTTTTAATTGAATTATCAAACAGCAAATACTTTATATAACCTTGACATCATAAAAATCCAAAAGGAATTTGTAAGAAGCATTTGCATTAAAAATAATTGAGGTATAAAAACAAAAACACTAAAAATCTAAAATCCTGCTCCTAAAGATTACTAACATTAACTTTTAATAAAAGCCCTACTGTAAATGCTCACAAACATTGCTAATTCAATAACAAAATAGTATATAACCTCAAACTTGAAGCCCATGTATTACAAATTCAAAATAAAGTAAAAAATGTTAATTTATTTATCTGCACAGAAGGCACAGGATTTTGTCTGTTAATTTTATATGAAAGGTAATTTATTAAAACATTATTTAATAAATAAATGCCCCATAAATTCAGCCTTGTTTAGGTTGTTCTGTAGCACAAATCATGAACAATTTTCAAAGTTAAATTGCAAAAATGGGTCCCTCTAGAAAACCCTTTTCACTTAGCTATAATGAAAGATTACGTAACAAAGTATAGGAGGAAACACTTTGTTGCGTGGGACAATTATATTTTAATACATAAAAACTCGAAAATATATTGTAAACAATCAAAGAAACCGATTTATTCACTTCTACGTCGCAAATTTTCAAATAATTTTAGGGCCACACCCATAGTTTCGAGAACATTCACAATAAGTTTTAAGCACCAGAATAATAAATTTAATAAAATTTTGATCACAACAATAACAAGAAAGCCTTAAAATCACTTACCAAGAGCATTTTGCAGAAATTTCAAGGAATACGTTGAAACATGGGTATACGCGGATAAAAATTTACTAAAAAGCTTTAATTTAGCTCATTGAAATCATTGTAAACACAAGGAAATATTTTTTTTTCAAACACTTTAGTCGAAATTCGGCAAAATGTGAATTAAATTTTCAGTGAAAATCTTGTCAAGCGACGCCATTTTGTCGTGGCTTGAATAATGGTGACGACGGTGGTAAAAATTTAGTAATTTTAGTACACAAATGTGATAAAATTGAGGTAAATAATGATAGTTATCACTAAAAAAATCAAAAATGAAACTTTACAGTCGTCACAATTACACTGTTCTCTACAAAATTGAATGTGAATACCGCGCACAACCAGCGACACTCGAAAGCTACAGCCATATTGCCATTTTACATTTGGCAGTATAGTGCCACACTGCCCAGTAGTGAAAATTAACGAAAAAGTAGTGTTGCTACATAATTCCCAAATAATGCCACCAAACATTCAACGCCTAAAATGTCTTGACCAGCATAAATTAGAGTGTCAAAAGATTATATATTGCATACATGCCACAATCTGTTGATTGTATCATCTCAACATTTAACATCGTAAAGTTATACCTCATTTAAATAAACCACTAACGGTGTAGTTTACTCGGGTGAACTATAGGCAGTATTTAAGTTATATCTCGTTATATAGGTTATTGTTACTTGATACTCCTATTATGAAACGTTTTATGGAAATTAAATAATTTTAATCTCGTATAGCAAGGGAATATTTCATCATTTCCATCGAAATATTTAATTTGATAAATATTTCGATGGAAATGATGAAATACACTTATTTAAGTAATCAGGTGTAACAAGGAATCATTTTAATACAATACATATGATATATGAATAAAACTACAATTTACCATCATTTTGCAAAACTGTTTTATTTGGTAACATTATTTAAGTGGAATGTAGCCATGTCTGAAAAAACGTGTGCTTGACGTATTTCCGTTGCATCAATTTTGTAGACTACATTCTTATTCAATGTAACACAATACCCACAGATTAGTTTTTAGATTAGATTGCAATGAATATAAAGTCTCATTAAAAGTTATTATTATCCATATACCAAAAGTTAAATAACAGTTCGTTTTATTAAATTTATAGTAATTTATAATAATTCATAAACTAAAACACTGCTGGTTTTAATTTATTGACTTTATTATGAATTTAATACAGTGAATTTGTTATTATTATATCGTAGCACAATTTGAATTATATCATCATTGTTAAATATTCGTAAAAAAATAAAATATTTGTACAATAAAAACGACTAAAGCCCTTAAATTACTTGAAATATCATATACGTCATGTTGAAGACTGACAGTAACAGATAAAAAATTATGCAAGTTGCACGATGCTATTTTAATTTCATCACAAATTATATATTGAATGAAAAGTGTATTTAATCAAACTTGAAATTGGTAAAGAACCAGAGGTGTGTGTTTATTCTTAAAATAATATACAAGATTATAGAATTTGTGTGTGGTAACTAAATGTTTATTGTTATTTACAGTAATAAAACTCCCAGAGGTAGTAAAATGGCAAAGAGAACTGCTACTGTCGCTTTTGACGAACCTCCGCAAAGTAAAGTTAAAGTTACCGATGGCAAGAAACATTCATTAGATTCCGATGAAGAAGACAGTGCTGCTGAAGAAGAGAAACAAAATGTCCTCAATGCTGATGACATTGAAGGAGAAGAGGAAGGTATCGCTGGAATGGAAGGTGAAGTAAGTCCTTGTAAAAATATTACAGAAGGAAACTAGAATATCTAAAATAGAATAATATAAGGCGCTTGACATTAGTGTTATTTGATTTTGTTGAAAACACCACACAATACAACAATGTGACAACCATGTCACACTTGTTGTTATTAAATTTATTCATTACACCTTTTTTGTGTAATTATCACACGATGATGTCTCTTGCTGTGTTAGTGATATAATAGTAATGTTCTGCTTATATAAATTTTGTTGTAATGTTCCTAACAGATTACAATAACACCTTTCAATATGAAAGAGGAATTGGAAGAAGGACACTTTGATACACAAGGACATTATCATTGGAAAAAAGAGAAAGAGATAAGGGATGGGTGGTTGGATAACATTGATTGGGTCAAAGTCAAGGGACGACCTGAAGATAAGTATAAAGTGCACAAAGATGACGACATGAAAGGAATCTTAGATGAGACAGACAGTGAAGATGAAGAGGTTGAGGAAAAATTTGATCTAATATCAAATTATAAGGAAATATTACAGCATATGAAACCAAGAGAGACAATAGCTAAAACATTACAAAGACTTGGTAAGTTTCAAATTTATATAACTATTTAAAAACATTAAAGACAACTGCAGCTATGACCTGTAAATAATACAATAAGTGAAACAGACAGAAATATGTTCTCCCCTAATGGAACGTGATTTCACTTTATTAAGTTAAGAATATACAGTTGGTTTTCCAGTCATGTCATTATATCAACCTAAGTAAATGATGGGTGTAAAACTTAGAAATGACCAATTCTAAGTTTAACACCCATCATTTACTTGTTATATTACTAGGTTTTATCTACAGAAATCAAATCTAATCAATCTAAGTTATGTATTATTTATGCTTTAAGTTAAATTCTCTCTTAAGTATTTTACATTTGAAAGAGCATAATATATATTTGTTACATTACAGGTGCCAACTCTAAAATATCAAGTGCAGAACGATGGAAGAGGAAAAAACAAGGAATTGTTGATGAAGGTAGTAAAATTGTTACAAGAGTAACGGAGCTGGCTAACCAAATACTGACTAAGACAGGGAATATGGATATTTATCAAGAGAATTATGAGAAAATCAGTAATCACATAAGTAAAGACCAGAAGAAGAATCAAGATGCTGAGTTAGACATGTACGCTGATGATTTTGATCAAAAAGAAAAGAAAACACTGGACAAAGGAGGCGAACAAAGTACAAATGATGATGATGGTGAAAATGAGCACTCAAATGAAGTGAAATGGGAGTTTAAATGGAGTCAAGATGACAGTGCTGAAATATCTGGACCTCATTCCACAGAGCAAATGAACAAATGGGCTAGTGAAGGTTACTTCAAAACTGGTGTTTGGGTCAGGAAACATGGTGAAGATACTCAGTTCTATAGCTCTAATAGAATTGACTTTGAACTGTATATGTAGGACTAGTGCTGTGCACGGTTGTAAAGTTATATAAAATAACTATGATTAAATGTACTTTGAATAAACATTAATTAAGATTACAGTGTATGATTCTGTATATATTTTTTTTTATTAGAATACTGACCAATTTATCCATGGGTATGGATCTAAGGGAGATGTATAAAGAAGAGATTTTAGAACATAGGAGTTCAGACTAGTGCGAGGCTCACTTGATGGAATGTATAACTTCCCAGCTATATAACATCCAAGGAAGATGCGCTGTCGCCGTTTTATCTTTTCGTAAATTCACTTTACGGCTTTTCCATACAAGAATGATGGTAGCTGAAGTAATTTTGATAGTTCTATAATAATACATCAACCAATCTAGTAGTTGTAACACTATTAATAACAGGACATGCAAAAGAGAGGGTCTAAAAATCTTTGATCCACCACGTTGCACCAGTTTGGTTTGGTGGGCTATTTCAATATCTGCATTAATTTTAGTAGATGGTGCAACACAAAAATATTTTGGTTTGAATTTATTTTTAAAAACGCTTAGAAGATTGTATTATTGTTATGTTTAGAACTTCTGATAATAAATAAAGTAGAACCTCGATAACTCAAAACATCTCGAAAAAAAAATTGTGCTCCGGATTCCTTTCAAACACTAAAACCTCCATTATTCGAAATCTCAACCCTCTATTAGTCGAAATAAACAGTGTATCTCTCCAAGCCAATTTGTACAAAAAATATCCCTCCATAACTCGAAAAAATTTTACCTCTGTATCTCAAAAATAGCACCGTCTCATTTTACAACTCTATTATTTAAGACTCATCACATTTATAGTTCGAATACAAATAATATACCGACTTGAAGAATTTGCAATTAATGAATAGAATTACTACAAATTTATGACATTGACACGTGTTTGCTTGCTTGATATCAGGTGTTTCATTATATTAGTTTTGATTTCATTTGAACGCAAGTTATTTGTTTTCGAGTGAAATGTTGTCAGAAGTAGTTTGGTTCTACTACAATACATCTCAATTCGTACATCAGTTTACAAATATTGTTGGAAACATGAGTGCTGTGAAACGTAAGCTGAAAACTTTGAGTCTTTCTGAAAAATTAGAAGTACTTCAAGCTGTGAAGAGCTGTCAAAAGAAGAAAGATGTTTCCGAATCATTTGGGCTCCCAAAAGTACTCTGTCGACAATAATAAGAAGAACAAGAATTTTCTGCTTTTATACCTTAGACAGTGCTATAGATAGAGAGCAAACGAACTGTCTAAAGCAAAAAAAAAAATACTGACTTTTTTAATGCATATTTTTATATTTTAAGGATGTTTTGAAGTAATGTATGATTACACAACAATGTTATACATAAACAATAAATGTGTGTGTCGCCTCTGCAACTTGAATTTTAATTATACCTCTACTCAAAATTTATAAGAATGAATCTCAACCTCTTCATGTCGAATCAAAATCCGCCTAAGTCGAAAACTCTATAACTCGAATTTTTTGGCGTCTCCCTTGATGTTCGACTTGTAGAGATTCTACTGTATTTACGTAATCTGTTAATACATATTTAAATAATCGAAGCTTAAACAATTTTGAAAATAATTTTGCTTTGATGCAATGAAATAACAATAGTATATAAATTAATTTATTTAGTATAATCATCGTAACTTTTTGGTCATATCTGCGGTTCTGATCAATCCTTTAATCTCTAAGTCAAATCTTCTACTGGGTATTTGAAGGGTTACGTATGGTTCTTCTTATCTCTTCCAAAGGCCGTTAAGCAGAGTGATAATATTCCTAAAACAGCACTTCCTCCGCAGGCATAAGTTAGAACGCCTCTATAGTACTGTGGACATTCTGTTTCAACATCACACTTGCTGTAAGAGAAGATACAAAATTGGTGCATATGACAACATAGGCTGCTAGAGGCAGAGAGGCCTAATAACAAAAAAATATATTTTCAATTAGGAGGAGCGCAGATGCACAAATTTTTTGTTTAAAAATTGTTCACAAGTTTTGATCACTGTGCTCTTGTAGATTAATATTTTTTGACTATGAAAATATAACTCAAGTCATAAAATTGCACTTAGGCTACTCTGCCTCTAGTGGCCTCGTATTATTGTAGATCGTATTGATAGACAATATTGTCTAAAAGAAAAGAATCCACTGATTTCTATGGCTCAGAGGTAAGCTTTGTCTCACTTAGGACCAACAGCACGTGAGGTTGTGGACGCAGGTTCAAATCCTGCCCTTGCTGTATTTTTTTTCAATCTAAAATCGATTTTTAATTAAGTTTATGTTACCGACAAAGATTCTACAGGGTTCTAATCAGTCCTGTCTCATTGTTAAAAATATTTTTCTGTTATTAGGCCAATCTGCCTCTTACAGCTTCATATTAATTATACATACTAGTTTTCAATAGCGACCACAGCGATGCCCGTGACGAGTTTATCAGCAAAAGTGACAATCGAATAAATCGAAGCTCCTTGATGAGAATGTGGCCCAATCAGATCTGCTGTTACGCAGAGGCTGGAGACTAAAGTTATGGCACTACCGGCGCCTGCAATGACCAATGTCTTTAAAACTACCTTAGTCTAGGACAATAACAAGTAAACACGATATTTTATTAACAGACATTGGATACTGTCTCATGACCACGTTTGCTGTAAAGCATCCGAAACATCGGGCCGTAGTTTAAATAATTTTCAAATAGGTATAACTAATATATATCATGTTTTAAACCGTTAAACTGTTTTATTTAATAACAGACATTGATTAGACTTCTGTGCGCTACTCGACAGCAATTCAAATATATTACATCGTAGAAGCCATAAAGCCGCGTAGGCTCCAAGTTCTAAAATCTAGATATGTACTTCTAGTCAAAAGATACTCAACAATATGAAATCTAAAATTAGTAAAATTAATGTTAGTAATAAAAATGTTATAATGTATTTTTAACAGATAATTAAATAAATACTGTCATAGTTTGCGAGTAGTACACATTTAAATAAAACACTTTAACGGTTTAAACCTGGTCTCCCCGTGACCACGGCTGGGCTGAAAAGCATCCGAAACGTCGGGCCGAAGTTAAAAATAATTTTCAAATAAGTTTAACTAATATATCGCGTTTTAAACCGTTGAAGTGTTTTATTTAAAAGATAATAAATTTTTTTTTCATGGTTTAATATGTATTTTTATTTATCTAAATTAAAATATTAAAAAACTTGTTGGTTTTTTTCAGTTTTTTCACAAATCAGACATGTATGACGAGTCTTCTCCAGTATGTTTCCTTTGACTAAAATATCATCTCACCTATTAGAGTAGCAACGAGATATATTTGTGTTACGTTAGCCTCTGGATCAATGGTCACAGCTATCCAAATACAACTGATCAAGCTAAATAAACTCCCTATTAAATAGGCCACCTGAAAGTATTACGTTTATTTTTAGGACATGAGTGGAAATCACTTGTATTTTTTATGATAGAGGACGACAGACGAGCGTGCGGTACTTGATGGTGGGTGGAATACCCCAGCCATATAACTTCTAAATAAGATGGGCTGTTGGCCTATTTTGGCCTTGGCTATTCGTAAATCCACAGACAGAAACTGAAACGCGATTAAATTTCTATGATGGTTCGTGATCCGGACGGAATTGAGATATTACCACCAACCATTTGTGTTTCAGAAAAATTAAATCTGATTAGAAAGATTGGACCTGGTGGCGATCTAACCGACGGCCCGTTGATTAGCCAATGTTACCGTGACACCAACGAGCCCGTTAATACAAATGATAATAATAATTTAGGAATCATTTCTAAGTAAGGTTTTGTTGTTGTTGTAAGAAACAATCTTTTTTTTTCTATGTTAAATTAAAAATCTGTCTGGAATTATCTATCGAACCAGCCAGCACCCGGCACCCACAGCGATCTGTGCTTTTAATCTCCTTTGACTATCTTTAACCCTTTGACGTGCATCTCTTGCGCAATATGATTTCAAACCTTAATACTTACGTATTAAAGTTCAAGATATAATTGAAGATGAAATTATAGATTTATAACGCTTGTCAATTATTTTACCTGGTTACCGATTTTCTCAATATTGCTCTTTAGAAGGAACGAGAACAACAAGGAAGATATGTACAGAACGAGCGGTACGCTGGCTACTAGTTCCGATCCCTCAGTTGGGTTTACAGATAACCGTTCCTCTAGAAACAACGGCACGTAAACCAAGCTTAGTGCCCAATACAGGCGAGAAAACACGTACCTGAAACAGAAGAGATTGAGGCTTAGAATTTTCTAAAAAGGTTTAACAGGCGGAAAGACGAGAATGTATAATAGGAAAAATGCCGAACAACCTCGCTTGCGTTAGCTCGGCCTCTGAAGGGGCCACAGAATATCAGTGTTGGGACATTAGTACCAACGTAGCTGAGTGGCTTCCTTTTCGGAGGCAACTATGTTGGTGTATTTATTTAATATTTGATTAAATTTGTATGTTTGTAGAATAAGTTTTATGTTTATTTGTCGTTTGTGTGTTGTTTCTGAATAAACGTATTTCTATTCTATTCTTTCTAAAAACTCAACCAAGCAACATCGTAACACATAGATTTACATCGGTGTTCTTTACACTCTAGTTTTATAGGTTGGACCCGTAAGAATCGAACTTTAAGATTTTATGCAACGTATTGTTGCCTTGTTATTTCAGGCGGAGGAAAAAAATTTTAATTATCCATTTATTAATTAAAATCTTTTTTCGGAAGTAAGAGAAACATAATACATACATACGATTTTTTCATTATCGGTCGAGCCGTAAGAGCGTCGTGAGGTGGACGGAATGGTTATATTACACTGGCACTGTTATAGTTTACACCGAGTAGTACACATTTAAATAAAACACTTTCGCGTTTAAAAGCGAAATTAGTTAAACTTATTTGAAAATGATTTTTGAAAGTCGGGCCGAAATTAAAAATTTTTAATTGTTTAACTAATACATATCCGTTTTAAACCGTTAAAGTGTTTTATTTTAATTATTACACCTATTTTATATCCACATTTCCAGTTGAAGCTAACATGTTTCATAAAGATTATAAATATATTAGAAAAATGTTGGGATAAACAGACACACTGAACGTAAAAGGTTTTTTTCGATTTACATATTCAAAACGCTTTGGCCAATTTTCGTTATGGTATTCGTGATTAGGAGGTCAAAATACATAAGTATACCAAATTTAGATATGGCGGTATGCTTTGGAAGTCACCCAAATGTTGTCCTGTGGGGATACCCACAACCCGTTGATTTTTGTAACCATAACACCAAAGAGCCGGTAAAAGCCCGTTGTGAAATGGTAACATAGGGCGGATCTAAATCCGGTAACCTGTGTTACGCCCACACAATAAAAACAATTGGTACTCACAACAAACTAGTTTGATACAGCAGGGGCATTTTCAGGAAGTACCAGAATTTCCATTTGGTATTCTTCAATAGATTCTCCTCTCCCGTCTCGGAATCCATTTTGATGGTTTTCCGATCTTTTTTGGAGCGAAGTTTGAAGAATATGTGGAATGAAGTAAAGCACAGGACACCGATTACGGAAATTATTAACGATACATTCTGGAATAAAACGTTTCATATTTAAACGTAATACTAACGGTTAGCCTTTAAATAAATCACATTAACGGTTTAAAACGCGAAATACGGTGTCACACCGTTAGTAAATTCTGCAAGGACCTGGTGAATTTCGCAAAATACCAACTAAAGGTGGAACAAATGGCGCTAGCGTAGCAGTTTTTTTACTTTGACGTTAGAGATACCTACCATCATTATTCCCACCATGACCGCGGGTGCTGCAAATCGTAAGCGTCGGAGCGTAGTTGCAATTATAAATTTCGTGTTATAAACCGTTAAGTGTTTTATTCAAAAGTGTGTTATGATACGAATTCAAACAAGCAAACTATATTAGATTGGAGTAAAATCACACTACAGTATACGCTTGATAGGCTTTAGTAGTCTAGGCCATCAGACATGTAAACAAATGTCCAAAGATTACAATTTTTACCCGAAACTTATAGTCATCAGTGGGTCCGATGGATGTGCTATACGTAGTTGCTCTTAGAACAATCCAAGTTATAAAGTACACGGTCAAGCTCGATATCACAGAAGCCATATAACTGGAAACCAATACATTTGGTTAAATATGTAGGGCATATTGGATGTCCCGAATGTAGACGGTCATTATCGACTAGGAATAAATGATATGCAGTATTATCTTAACTTTCTTTTTAACCGATTTCAAAAAGTGTAGGTTCTTAATTCGATTTCTCAATAATCGATCGCACATAACTTCGACGTTTATGGACCGATTTTTATTTTTATTTAAATAAAACATCATTACATTATCTCTATTTAACTACATCAATATGTATTACTTTGGGAAAAAAAAATTTAATTTTTCTTCAAAGTTTACTGTTTCAAGTCGGTTTTTCTTATATATTCTGCTATATTCACACGCTATTTCAACGTTAACGAAAAACACAATATGTAATTTTATTGTAAGGGTAATAAATAAGGCCTGATCGAATAATAATAATCATAAGTAAAGTCTATAGTTTACGCGCGTAGTACACATTTAAATAGAACACTTTAACGGTTTAAAACGAGATATATTAGTCAAACTTATTTGAAAATGATTTTTAACTTCAGCCCGATGTTTCGGATGCTTTGCAGCAGACTTTGTGGGGGAGACTCAGTCTACCACTACTACACTAATAATATCGCGTTTTAAGCCGTTAAAGTGTTTTATTTAAATAATTATTATTATTATCTTGTATAAATCTACCTTATCCCAATCTATAAATATCTATTTTTTAATTAATAAGATATTAGTCAATTACAATAGTAGTGTAACTAAAGCAGAAATTAAACCTAAAGACCTTTTCATTCATTTTAGATTTTAATTAAAAAGTCACTTCCAAGCTCACCTTTATCGGGTACCTAATATTGTAAGATTCAAGTATATTTTTGGAAGTTTCGGATAGAATAAATTAAACAAAAAAAAAAATTTTTAATACTCGTTCCTTTTAAATTTTAAATAAAAAAAATTAAAAAAAGTAGAGTTCAGATTATTAAAATAATTACTAATTCTAGTTTTTGTGGTTTTATCAAACCACAGAGCTTGGATGATTGTCTATATTGTTAGTTTTTGAATTTAAATTCGTTTTGGCAAAGATTAAAGCATTTTTAAGTAACCTACCGTATAGACGTCAGTTCCGAACGGACTTGCAAACTATCAGATATGGCTGGTATCATGGCCAAGTGTGATATCTGTACTACGGCCCATCCAATTTGAAATATAGTTATGAGTACGGCGTAATAAAAGGGCATCCACCACGATAGGTAATCGAGGTCGTTCCGCAACCAGCAGCCCCAACATCGTACGAACAGTAATGGAAACGTACAAGCTACCAAGGCAGAACCTGAAAAATTTTTCATTTACCTTAGCCTATACATTCTATAAGGCTTTCGTTGTTTTAAAGCTGGGGGAAGTTTGTTTTATGATGCCAAAACTTCGACAACCATTTCTCTGATACGACGACTTAACAGCTAGAGAGCAAAGTAACTTAATTATATATTGTTAATTAATTTGAATGTCTGCTTCACCGTGAATACCAAGCAAACTCAGTGGAGGTAGACGGAACACGCCCTAATTCGTCCGTATCAATTTAAACCAACGAAGTCATTTATGTAATTTTTTGTTTCGCTATTTTTACAATCATAAACAGATTTTTTACCTGTCAAATGCCACACTTTCTTCGTACTATACTGATCAGCCAATACACCGACCACAGGTGTAGCTAACGCGTCTACAACTTGTCCTGAAAAGATAAATCTAGATACACTAACATTATAAAGCTAAGGAACTACTGGCTCGAATTGAATTGTTTCGTTTTGGTTGGACCAATTATTGAGGAAAGCTTAAAGATAAAAAAAAACTTCAGGCAGTAGGAGCGAAGAAACAGGTGGAAAAAATGGGAAACATCATTCATCTTTTTTGGATTCCTTTACCTGTGCTGCAAAAATATGCATAAAAGAATTGTTCTTTTTTAAATAAACTTAAAAAATGACATTCTTAACAATCTTTTAATATTAACGCAGCAAAGCCGGCAAAAGAACGTCTTCCACTTAGTGTAATTATATATTTTAAACCCTGCCTCATGATAACAATTGAAGGTGCATACCCAAAAGCAACATGGCGCCTGCGACTACAGCCCTCATTTCCAGAACAGCCTGGAGGAAGAGCATCATGTACGAGAACCACATCGCGGCACAGAGATCGTTGTAAACGTGACCAAATCCAAAGAGAAACTTCTGACTGATCACCCACCATCTTCGCCGCTTCAACGGAACGCTGCAATATGAAATATTGACCATGACGAAAAATGAGAATAGTACTTTGGGCCATCCGCGTATAATCACGAGCAAAGGTAACTATGGTATGTTGCGAAATATAATTTTAACTTATCGCCGCGATAATACTACAATGCAATCTATGTTACAATTATTAAGAGTGTAAAATTAATTATTTCAACAACCTACACTGAATTCTTTAGTGTCATTTCATACATACTCGCTTTTAAACATTACAACCTTTTTTAGTCTGTAATAAAATAGTTATTTATTAATTTATCCATGTTTTTAATAAAAAATATTCTTTGTAGTTTCGGTAAAGATGAAACAATCTACGGATTAAAATGTGATCTCTATTTTCATGACGTTCTTAAGTGTACCTAGTTACCTAATTGAATATATTATGATTTTTATTATTTGACTATATTATATTAGCAAAACTTATTTGTAAATTGTGAACTACGGCACAACGTTTCGGATGCAGCAGACGCGACCATGGCTATACATATCGCGTTTTAAACCGTTGAAGTTTTTTATTAAAACGTTTTTAATAACCCACATTCGCCTGGTTATTTTGGAAATAGGCTATTGAAATCTATTTTATTTTATTATCGTAATTGAACCCAATCAATGAATTAGTCGTAGATTACGGTAAGTGGGTCAGAAGTCAGGCTAGAACCGTCGGTCTTAATACCATTTGATATGAAAAAAGATTATCAAGACTGTATGGGAAGAGTATATGGGAAGCGTCAATGGATGAAGTACTAAAGACATTTCGTGTCCCATTTATCCGCTGAGTGTCGTAAATTGGCTGAATTGATGATTGCATTTGATGATGAACGGAAGAAGAAATTACCTGATAGTAAACTCATCTTCGGTGACTTCTTTTGTTTCACTGTTCACCCCGTTTTCATTTTCATCAGTGGCCCCGTAATTTATGGGCATTTTTATTTTTTTTATCACTGCTTTATCATCACTTTTACTAAACAATAAATAAATTTATTTTTCCACTGACCGGTGTGATTCACGAAATTTTTCCAACGAAATCGACGCGTGTATCTTGAAGGGATTCCTACAACTTTGTGGCTTAGTTTGATAGAGGAATCTAACTATGCTATGTGATACAATTTTAGTAAAGACGAGCGACAATTCTGGCCGCTTGACTCGCTTCGATTTTTTTAAATAAAACGTTATATATCTAGACCCTGGGTCATACAACAATTACACGAAATGTGTTGTTTCCCTATTTTTGCTTTAGACATTCGGAAATCTTTAAAAGGATACGGAAACCCCCTTTTTCACGACATTTTCATGTGAAAATAGTTCGTGATCAGGACGGAATTTCCATATTCCTACCACCGATTTGACGTACAGACTATGTTTATGATGTTTCTGAAAAAAATACACCATAAAACACTGTATTTCTTACATATACATATATAAAAAAGCACTTTCAGCAGAGAATACATAAGTATACCTAAAGCGTATATTCACGCCTAAATTACGCAAGTAATTTTAGTTACAATTGGCAGCCGGCAAAAATATAAGTTCGCGACCTCCACAAATGCCATCTCTACAAATAAAATGTAAGCGTCTACAAATTCGTTACACGTCTGTAACGGTGTATACGTGATACGTCTATAAGACGTTATTTACATAATGATACACATTTATAATATAGACTAGCTGACCGGGCAATGTTGTTTTGCCATATAATGTATGTAGGGAATTTCTAAAGAGAAAATTTAAACTTATTGTAAAGATGAGGTATTAAATAAAAGAAGTTATAGATTATGATGGTATACAAAAAATACTGTTTGAAATATAGTAAAAAATTTGTCAAATTCCTAATTACCTTTGTAAAAGGTATAAAAAAACTGTCCACGAAACATACAAACTATATAGGTGAACAATGTAGAGACTCTCCACAAGTGGTACATGTATGAATAGATTTAAATATAACACTTTAACGGTTTAAAACGCGATATATTAGTTAAACTTATTTTCAAATATACTACTCGCGTAAACTATAGACAGTATTGTATGAATAGATTTAAAAATCGACGTGCTCAATTGGTTAGAGAAATAACACTGAACGTGTACATACCGTTCTCGTGTCGTGAATTTTTCAATCTAAAATCGATTCTTTATGTAGAGACTACTAAATATATAAAAGGTATGATAAATAGTTATTTCTTAGAGCTGAAAGTAAAAAAAAAGGGGGGGGGGGGGCCCCCTCCCCCCCCCCGGGGGGAGTCCTACATAAGATGCTTTGAAACATAATATGCATGTCAGCTCTTTTGGACATCCAAATTCGTTTTTGCAAACCCCTTCACCTTTTTAAACTTAGGCTGTTACCCACGACATCGGTCGCGTCCCGTCCCGTCGTTCTTGCAAGTTAATTTAAAAATATAGACTAGGTGCTTTTTTTAGATCATTTAAAGGGGAATCATTCTCTCATACATATTTTTTGGGTATCTTGAACCGTTTTTGCAGCGTACGCCACGGCAACTCATAATGATAAAATAATATATATACATATATACTTTCTCTTTAAAGTTTTAAAAAATATTTAGATTTGTCAATTTTTTTGTTTGTCTGTCTGTTTGTCGTGATTTTACAGAGTAAATAAATAATAGTAGATATATCATTTTCTCAATTTTTTTCACATTTTTCGCTGTATTTTCGTTTGTAATAGTCACAGAGTGACCTTCTATAGCCTTCCTCGATAAATGCTTTAACCAACATAAACATATTCAATTCGAACCCGTAGTTCCTGAGATTAACGTGTTCGAACAAACAAACCCTTCAACTTTATATATTAGTATAGATGTTATAGAGCAGGACCATTTTACCATTCACCTAGTGTTTGTGTCCTCTCTCTTAAAAATATTTTAGAACCTTGTACCCGTTTAGTATTATTTAGTTAATGCTAACTTATGAACCTAAGGCTATTGTAAAGCACCTTCTATATTTTGTCACGATCTCGCTAACCGCAAAAGTGTTCTCCGATACTCGCCTACATACTTCGACATTGTTAGTGACCTAAATGCTAATATGATCTAACAATACTTTTACTGTTGGACAATTAACATAATATGTTATAAGCACTATTATAAAAAATCCTTGGAGGAACTCTCCTTTCCCTCTAAAAGATCTTTAACTTAAAACTATAGTATACTGTAAACATTATTTAAATAAAACACTTTGGTCGGTTTAAAACGCAAAATATAAAGCCGTGGTGAGGGAGAACTGCTGCCGTTGCTAAAAACGTTTTAAACCGTTAAAAGTGTTTTATTTAATATGTACTATTCCCGTAAACTACTGACAATACTCTAAACATTATATAAAAAAATTAAACCTTGTTTACCTTTATGCGATGTACTCATATTATGTTCGTTATACTAATTTATAATTAAGTAGTTGACCAGACTTCTGTGCCCAGCTCGACAAAAACAATTTATCGTTACCCCGGGATTCGAATTCAGGATCTTTCATAGTTAACGTGTTTAACAGCTGGCTAACGTTTAACAGTTCAGCTAAGAAAGAAAATCAATCTACAATTTATATTTAAAAAAAGTCTGTTTTAGTGAAAGTAAAATGAGAGTAATACTTATAAGATTCTAATACAAACACATAAAAAGAAATTACATGAATTAATTGAATTATGATTTACGTATAAAAAAAACTTTTTTTTTCGTTGATTTCTTGCCGGTTGTTTGTTTATAGTAATTACCTAACCATAAAAATAAACTACACTCTTATTTTTTATTTCAGCAATTACTACGGTTATCGGTTTCACTAAAATAAAGATAAAGCAGGTCATTAAACTTGTCACTGGCTTCCCGTATAGGGTTTCTCTATAGCCAAACTTTGACGGTAGGTATAGAAAATCATATAAATAAACTAGCTGTGCTCGCGACTTATCTGCGTGGAATAGTGACTTGGGTTAGAATTTTTGATTATTTAGGCTGTTTATTAATTTATGTTATTGCGCATTTATTGCAGCCAATCTATATTGTAAGTCCCCCAACCAAAAAAAAAAAAAAAAAAAAAAAAAAACCCAAAAGGGGGGGAAAAAAAAAAAAAAAAAAAAAAAAAAAACCCCCAAAAAAAAAAAAAAAAAGGAAGGGGAAAAAAAAAAACCCCCCCCCCCCCCCCCTTTGAAAAAAAAAAAAAAGGGGGGGGGGGGGGGGAAGAAAAAAAAAAGAAAAAAAAAAAAAAAAAATTGGGGGGCCCCAAAAAAAAACCAAATTAGGAAGAGAATTTTTTAAGTCGAACCAATCGTTCTTGAGATTAACGCAATCAAACAAACAAACAAACTCTCCAGCCTTATAATATGTGTATAGATATAGTACATTGATACAAGTACAAGCAAATATACGGTCTATTGTATAATTTATTTATGACAAATTGTTCTAAATTCGATGCATATTGAAACATAAAGTAGGTTATACGCGATTAGCATACTTCTCAAGTATTCTAACCTTGCATAAGGTTAATCAAATGATCAATTTAATGTTTTGCTTTTAGCGCCATCTCGTTTGTTATACTTAAACTAAAGTTTAACCGTTCTAGTAGGAACGACTATAATGCCAAATTGGTATAACTGTAGACAAATTCGTTTTTCTTATCGCCTACAGATGGCTATAGTTGTACAGTTTCATTGATGGTTTAATTGTAAATAAAACCATATGAAACAGGAAATTTTAATATAAGATGATAAAATGTTTAAAATCCGCGATTAATTCCGTTATTTTGCTATGTAAACATTATTTTTTTGGTATTTCCGACTGCTAAGCTTTTGATTCGATCGCCTGTAAGGGGTACTATTAATACTATCTATAGTCTATACTAATATTATAAAGCTAAAGAGTTTTTCGTTTGAATGCGAAAATCTCGGGAACTACTGGTTTGAACTGAACAATTATTTTTGAGCTACTTAAACTATTTTTTTTTTCAAAATACTGCACAAGGTATGAAAACGATGGCCAGTTCAGCTAGTAATATAAAGATAATTGGAAAAATAAAAACTAAACACATTTCGTATATACTGTCTGTAGTTTACGCGAAGAGCAACATTGAGAAGAAAACAATATAAGTGCAGTCTGTATTTAAATAGAACACTTTAACGGTTTAAAACCCGATCGTTATGGAGGACCACTTAAGCCCTCTGCCTCACCTAGGGGACACCGTTTATGTCAAGTAAGTCAATGGTTGAAACCGATATGTATATTAGTTAAACTAATTTGAAAATTATTTAAACTTATTCGTACACTCGAATTCTTTTATTCATACGCCGGCATTTTCCATAGGTTCGGAATATTTTCAACAAGCGATGCGTGAAATGAATAAAGCTCAGCGACCGCCATTTATATTTGATTTTTCAATTGAACGCCTGAAAGTGAGCGATATTTGCCACCAGCCGAACAGCAGCAGCCTAATTTATGTGCCAGCCCGCGTCTGCAGCCTGCGTAGACATTCGTGGTCGGCTGCAGCCGTAATTAAATCCAGTATTAATTAACACGACCATAAAATTGTTATAATTAATCTTTCTGCAGAGTCGGCTGCTTTAAAACGATGTGCCTCGTATTCCAGGCACAATAAGAGGTTAGTGAAAAATTACCTTGTGTTGCATTAAGAACTTCTACTTTTTTAAATAAAACACTTTTAACGGTTCAAAACACGAAGTGTAAACAATTTTTTAATCTTTTTAGCAACGTCGGGTTTTATTTTTATATAAGTGAATCAATGTATTTCACGTTTAAAGCCGTTTAACATATTGTATTTAGAAAAATAGAAGCGTAAAGTGTTTTATTTTAATGTGTACTACCTTAACCCGCAGTCATTCCCCCGTGACCACGGCTGTCGCAGAGCATCCAAAACGTCCCGTCGTAGTTAAAATAACTAAAAAAATAGATTAACTCATATATATCGCGTTTTAA